GTCTAAGTATCGTCCATCGAGATCTCAAACCTGAAAATATCTTCATTGCTCACAGCAGTGATGGGACGGATAATGTCAAGATCGGAGACTTTGGATTGGCCACTAGCGGTCAGTTTGCGGTCGATAGGGCTCTTCCCAACGCCATGGAGTCGGACGATATTACCAGAAGTATCGGGACTACGTCGTATGCTGCGCCGGAAGTGCGCTCCGGGTCTAGCGGAATGTACAGCTCGAAAGTGGATGTAAGTCCCTCGCGCAAACTATGTTGTCATGCTTTGGTTATCCTGTCGCTGACACTGTTTAGATGTACTCTCTGGGCATCATTTTCTTCGAGATGTGTTATCCCCCGATGTTGGGCATGCAAAGAGCAGAAGTTCTCGAGAAGCTCCGGCGACCAAGTCCCGAACTCCCTGCGGATTTCAAGCCTGCCGAAAAGATACAGACGGATATCGTCCTGTCTCTCATCACTCACAATCCCAAAGAAAGGCCATCGAGTGCGGAATTGCTGCAAAGTGGAAAGCTTCCGGTGCAAATGGAAAGCGAGACCATCAGACGAACATTGGCTGGTCTAGCCGACCCCAGCTCGCCTTACTACAAGAAAATGCTTTCGACGCTTTTCTCACGGCCTCTAGAGCAAGCTAAAGATTACGCTTGGGACATGCATGAGGCGAGTCCCAGCCAGGCAGACTTGCTCAACCAGAGCATCGTCAAGGAAACGCTGATTTCCATATTTCGCCGACACGGAGCTCTGGAGTGTCAGCGCACCTGCCTTTACCCGCGGTCGTCCCACTATGCAGAGAACGTCATGAGACTCCTGGACTCGAACGGCACTGTCCTGCAGCTGCCATTTGATCTGACGATGGGCCATGCAAGAATGCTTGCCAAAGCCAGCGGGACTCCGGGCGTCCAGCGCACTTTCACTTTCGGCAATATTTTCCGTGATAAGGGTGATACTGGGCAGCCCTATATGCTGGGCGAAGTTGACTTTGACATTGTCACGACTACCACCCTCGACATGGCACTGAAGGAGGCTGAGGTTCTCAAAGTGCTTGACGAAATCATTGCCACGTTCCCATCACTATCTACGAGCCAGATGTGTTTTCATCTAGGACATTCCGATTTGCTGCAGCTAATCTTCGACTATTGTCGCGTCGAGCATGGCTCCCGAAGGGCTGTGGCAGATGTTCTCAGCAAGCTCAATATTCATCACTGGTCCTGGCAGAAGATCAGGGCCCAGCTGCGTTCTCCCCTGGTAGGCCTTTCGGCAACCAGTGTCGATGAGTTGCAACGATTTGACTTCCGAGGTTTGCCAGCTTCCATTTCTTTTACTTTGAGTCACAAACTAACAGGATTCAGATACGCCGTCCAAGGCCTTCTCCAAGCTCAAGACACTGTTTGAAGGCACTGACATGTATCAGCGAGCCTCGTCGACTCTGGCGCATCTGAGAGAGGTCTCGGAGTATGCCAAGCGACTTGGAGTCACAAGCAAGATCTATGTCACGCCATTGAACAGTCTAAAAGAAAGCTTCTATACCGGTGGCACTTTATTCTCCTGCCTTTACGACAAGAAGATGAAGGATGTATTTGCCGCGGGTGGCCGATACGACAGTCTCATTAGAGAGAATCGTCCTAGAATTGGCAGCCATTACGAAGAGCGCCACGCCGTGGGATTCAACCTGTCGTGGGAGAAGCTTTCTAGGGCCCCAAAAACAAGTGGAAAAGCATTCCTCAAAAAGTCGGAAGAAGAGGGCCACAATATGTTTAGCAGCACGAAAAGAGTAGGTCATCGAGTTTCCTCATAGTTGGTCTGGCTACTTACAACAACTCACAGTGTGATGCCCTCGTGGCCAGCTTCGACGCTGCCGTCCTGCGATCTACGGGAATAGAGATTCTGCAGACGCTATGGTCGCACAACATCAGCGCCGAGCTCGCGAGAGATGCGCGGTCCCCAGAAGACTTGCTCTCTCGCAACCGCGACGAGGGCTACTCCTGGGTCATCATCATCAAGCAAGACGCCATCCTCAAGGTCAAGACGATGGACAAGAAGGACACGCCCGATGTTGACATACCCATGGCGCAGCTTCTCTCGTGGTTGCGTGCTGAGATCCGGGAGCGGGACTCCAAGGAGTCCAAGTCGGCGGCGATGGTCAAGTCGCGGGCCGGTGGCGGCGGGCAGCAGGCCGAGACCAACGCGACGATGGAGATGCACCACCACCAGGAGCAGGACGTTCGGGTGCTGGTGGCGGGGACGCGGAGCAAGAAATTCAATCGCAGGACGGTCGTGGAGCAGGCGCAGGTGAGCGCGGCGAGCCTGGTGCGGTCGTTCCTCGACGGGCCGATCCTGGCCATCGAGACGACGGATCAGGTGATGGACCTCATCCGGGACACGTGCCTTTCGGACGGGGAGAGCTGGCGGCGGGCGGAGCACAGCGTCACGACGGCGGAGAAGAAGTACGTGCGGGAGATTCACGACATGTTGCTGAATTGGAAGTGGGCGTGGGAGAAGAAGGGTGGCAGCGGCGGCAGCCGGCACGCGTTTTTATACAACTTCCGGACTGGGAATTGCGTCTACTATGATTTGGGAGCATAGTCTGATGGGTAAGGTAGATGGGGTGAGCATGTAGCTTGCTGCCGCAAGAAACGGATGAATAAAAAAATGAAGAATCCCTCGAAGCTCATTTGTTTTGTCCCCTTTTCCTTTTCAAGGTCTCTTATCGGTTCTCTTTACCGTTTCTACCAAGAAATCGTACTCGAGGCCCTAATTTCGCTCGAGTCTGCTCAAGAACAATCCCTTGGTGTAGGTTGTGGCGGTTGGCAGTGGTGGTGCCAAAACCAGCACAATGGACGGGAAAGCAGGGGTCCGATGCCGGGGCGGTAACTTGTGACGTGGGTTTCTGCGAGTTTGCATGGCTGGGTCGGGACGATCGGACCAAGGAGCATTGAGTTTATCTGGGGTTCGACTTGGTTTACCTACACTACTGTGACGCCTTTCTTGCGACATACCATGTATGTAAAGTAGGTAATAAGGATTTACGTGCCGGGTCGTTATGCGAGGACAGAGGCTCCCGGTCAGGTACCGAACCGGAGGTACCTTAGAACGTTCGATCAGTTGATTTCCGACCTTGACGGATACCTTGATGGCAGTTGATGGGGCCTGGATGAGGTATCGTGATGGGCCTCCTAGAATCCTCAATTTGCAAGACATGAGATTCTTAGTCATCTCGGGCAGCCTTTGGGAACAGTAATAACGACAAATAGATACTCGAGACTCGAAGGGATCAAGATACTGCGACGTGGTGTAAGTGCTGCGCTGGTACCTGATGTGGTGACAGGCTGAAATGCACAGACAACAAAGAGAAACCTGGCAGTGCCTGTGAGGTGCATGGCGAGTCCGGTCCACCACCCCTTTGCAGTGCCAGAGTGTGTTGTTGGCTTTGAGTTGAAGACTGGAGGTGGCGGAGGCGAGGTCGAATAAGCACACACAAAGATGACACAGCAATATTGATGACAGAGCAGACAAGAGATTTTCCGTTGTGGAGGGTTTGTTGGTGGCGGCGTGTTTGGCTGGCTGACTGACGCTTGCACTAGTGAAGTGACCTTTACATTATTGTGCGAATATGTTACTTCGCAAGGGCCTCGAATGTCCAAGGACAATATGACAAGGAGTACTCCGCAAGGTAAGGTAGGGTGCTGGTACTGCTAGGGCCAAGGACAGACGACGGCTCTGAAGCTGGCCACGGATCCGAGACACTGCGTGACCTCCTTGAGGAGTCTAGCCATCTCGGGTGGTCCCTGGGGTCCCATGGTATCCCAAATCGTCCAGGCAGGGCAGTTTCCGGTCTACTACGCAGTACCTAACCTTGCGGAGTACCTCATGGCAGGGAACCTTGATAAATCGCAAAGGGACCACCTCAGACTCTGGCTGGAATTGCTGCTTTCTAAATTTGAGACTATTTCTTTGCATCGCGACTTCCCGTTGTTCAGCTTTGTCCCTGGAAGCCCTCTTCTTTTTCTCTCACCTAGCACACAGCATAAAATCTCTCTCTCCCTGGACCAGGCCTTTACCGCCACTCCATTCCCCGTCTCATACTCTTACACTCCCGAATCCCACCACACACCAGACCACCAGACAGCCCGAGGTCTTCACACATACGGGTCGGTCCTCCCGTCTCCCTTTATCTTATCGCCTGCTGCCCACTCCGAGTCAGGTCGGTGGTTTATCGAGTCATCCCCTTTCGCCCCTCCATACCCTCCATCCCACCTCATCGTCGCTTCCTTTCTCTGGTCACACGCCTCTTGTGAGAACTTGCGGTGCGCCTTCTTCACTGTCCGCCCACACGAGTGCCCTCCTTTTTCTACTGCTGCTCGTGCACACAATTGCATACTTGCATCGTATCAAATTCCGCCATCTTCTTCCCTGCGACAAATCGATCTCATCGCTCCAACTTCATCCCACTCCCTCACGACAAAGTGGTTCTTTCCCGCATACTAATCCCCGCCACCTCACCGTTACAAATACTCCAACATCATGGCGCAGAAGCGATTGATGAGTGAATATCAAACCCTGCAGAAGGAGAAATGGGTTCACATTGATGTCGACGAGCGGAATGTCTTGAACTGGAAGCTTGGCCTCATGGTCGTCAACCCCGACAGCGCCTTCAACGGAGGCTACCTCAAGGTTCGTTTGATCCTCCCTCTCCCAAATACACTGTAAAAGTACACAGCTTACTGAAGTTTTCTAGGCCGAAATGACATTCCCTCGAGACTACCCATACCAGCCTCCCACCTTCCGCTTCCTCAACAAGAATATCTGCCACCCAAACATCTACACCGACGGCAAGCTCTGCATCTCCATCCTCCACACTCCCGGCGAAGACGAGCAGTCTGGCGAACAGGCATGCGAGCGTTGGTCTCCCCTGCAGGGCGTAGAGTCGGTCTTGCGTTCTGTCCTGCTCCTTCTGGACGACCAGCAACCTGATTGTCTTGCGACTGGACGACCGCGTCCCAAACATCACCAAGTCCTCCCAATACTGATTTATACAAACACCCTGCGCTCTCCGAGAGCACAAACATCACAACCACACCGGCGCACAGCGACCCCGTCGCAAGTCAAACCCGCACCATGTCCTCCTCGCCAACATTCACAACCCCCCTCAACCCGCGCCTCGCAGCAGCCGCCGGCGCAGAAGACGACGACCCCCTCTTCTCTTCCGCCCTCGACACCGTAACCCCGAACCGCCGCGCACTCAGCCTCGACCCCCCCTCCAGCCGCGCCTCCTCTCCTCCCACGTACGCCCTCCAACAACAACAGCAACAACCCTACGCCTCTCCCTACGCAGCTCAGCCGGCGGATACCGCGGCCTTCTCCGCCTCGGGCCGCCGCTCCCTCGCCGCGACGCCCCACGCCCGCGCAGCATACCGCACAATCGACCAGCGCCGCGCCGCCGCGCTGACACCGGGAGGAAACAAACGCCGCGAGAGCTTCCGGCCGCGGAGGGAGTCGCTTCACGATGTCCTGCGCGGGTTGAGTCGCGTGGTGAAGCACACCACGCAGCCCATCTCGTCGTCCTCGTCACCCAGCGACGTCGGATCGAGAGCAGCGGGGCCGAGCGCGAGTTTGCCGATACGGACGGTGAACCGGAGGGGCACGGTGTACGATGACGACGACGACGATGACGAGCTTCCGATCGATAGGCCGCGGTTGTCGTTACCGCTCGACGTTGAGGATGACGACGAGGACGAGCTTGTTGCGCCTGAGTTGTCGCAGATTGACGAGAATGCGACGATTGAGTTCCCGCGGCGGGCGTATGTGGATCAGCCGTCGCGCATGTCGTTGGGGAGCGCAAGGTTGAGCGAATTTAGGAATTACGGGACCTCGACGACGACGACGATGGTGATCGCGGAGAAGGGTTCTTTCCTGCGTTTGAGGTTGGGGCGTTAGACGAGGAGGGGAGGGAGCCGGAGGATACGTTGGACAGGTGAGCTTTGCGGCGAATATATTAGCGGTGGCGAGGGCTCGTTACTGACGGAGTGGGAACAACAGAGTCGAGGAGGAAGACTTGAGGCGGCAGACTCTGGCTTCGGCGCGGGACAGCGATTTCGGGTTCGAGGTGCCCATTGACGCGGATAACCAGACGACACGGACAGAGCTCACCGGCGCGACCGCTGCCCGAATTCACAGACGAACAGCCGTCGCTTAACATTGCGCCGGTAGACGACGAGCCGGCGGCCCCGCTGGACGAGGACCTAGGTTTCGGAAACTCGTACTACGACATGCGCAGCTCGACGCCCATCGAACCCACCGAAGCGACGCAAGGAGACCTGGACGGACAGACGGAGGTGAGCGCCGCGCAGCAGGAGCAAAGCAGAGGCCGCGTAAGACGAAGCGCGGCGTGAAGTTGTCAAGTACAACGTGGGTACCCGTCGCTGCCGCCCGCGGTGGTGAAGCGGCTGGCCAACACGTTTGCCAAATCGAGCGGCATCGGCAAGACCAAAATTAGCCCGACACGCTGGCTGAGATCCAGAGGGCGTCGGACTGGTTTTTTGAGCAGCTGGGCGACGATCTGTCCGCGTACGCGAAGCATGCCAAGCGCAAGACTATTGATGAGAGTGATATGCTCACTCTCATGCGAAGGTACGTCTTTTTTGTCATGAACTTTTCACTCTTCGAACTTTGCGTGCTCCAAACACAGGGGTATCGACAGTCTTTTGAGGGGAAGGGGGTTTCCCTTTTTATATCCACAAGCCTTTTGTTCTTTTGGTACAAATACAATGGTCTCTAATATCCTTACAGACAACGCCAGACCAGCTCGACGACGACCCCCTTTTCACTGGCACACAGACACCTGCCCCGAGAGCTGTTGCAGGAGTTGAGGATGCCCAAGCCGCTGCCACCGACGGAGCCGAGGAAGAAGCGCCGTCGTGTGACCGACGGCGGACAGGAGGAAGTGACTTGAGGAGTCCGACTTGCTCCCACTACGACTGCGATGTTGGTCCCTCCAATGAGAGAAAACCGAGCAAATCCTTACCAATGCTTATTCATGCGCACCTTTCGCGCGGTATCGGTTGGGGGCTTCTTGACGACCATCCACAACATGATTGAGGTGGCGAACGCGAGACCATACCTATCTGGTGTTAGTACTGACGTTAGTACTGACGATGGTTGACCGTGCCGAAGAGAATGATATACGAAGCAGGGATTGGTCGGACTTACCATGTGAAGATGTACTGGGCATGGTTATTCCGCAGATTCACCTCCGCGGCTCTACCAATAGGGATACCCTTGGACTTGAGGTCCACAATGCGGAAGAACTCGTGCTCTGCGAGGAAAGTCAGTATGAGCTTTGAATCTTAGAGCAAGCCCCCCAGAAGGCGGCTCAGACTCCAGGGAAATAAGGAAACAGGCCACAACATACCTATAGTAGCCTCAATCCAAACAGGCTGACTGCCCGTCAGCTGCGCCATCTGGTGCACATCAGGGAAGAAAAACTCCCAACGATCAGGTCTATTCTCAGGCGTGAACATGTTCTTCTTCCACGGCTCCCGCAGCAACCCCTCAACCGTGACCTCCCCACGCGGCAGCGCGCCAGGCCTCCGCCGCTGATCCGCCATCTCCTTGCTGATCCACCCGCGATTCACCAGCACCGTCGTGCCCTCCCCCTCCCTCTCGAGCGGCGTCACGACCATATACCCCTGCTCGCCCTCCCACATGCGCGGGCCGATGAGCATCTCCTTGTCGTGGCGGAAGTGGCCCGTGGCGTAGACGCGGCGGTAGTCGAAATCGGCCACGGCGTCCGGGTCGATCTTGGGCGGGAGCGGGAGGGGGTCGCGGACGAGGCGGTCCTCGAACTTGGCGATGAGGTCCGTCTTCCAGCCGAGGCGCTGGACTTGCCATGTGCCGAGGGCGAAGGCTGTGATGGGGATCAGGGCGAGGATGATGAGGCCTGGCCCGTGGCGGTTTCCTGCTCGGACGAGTTCCGGGGGTTGTCGACTATGGAGTGGAAGTCTGGGGCTGGTTCGGAGGCGTGGCGCGGGGTGGTGGAATGCGGGTTGTTGGTGTCGCGCGTGGTGATGATTGCGCTGAAGGGAATGTTCTTGGCCGGGCGATTGAGCGTAGGGGTTTGCGCCGCGGGGCCCGGGGCCCGGAAGAGCGCTCGTGGTAAAGGAGGCGGCATCGTGAGGTTCGGGGCTGGTGAATTGGTACTTTTCCCCGGTGGTGATGCGGGTGGGAGGCTTTCACGAGTGAGAGCTTGCCGGCGCGGGTGATGAGGTCAGGATATTTCGGTTTTTTGGGGTCCGGCCGGCCCGTTCTAGGGTACCTGAGCAGCGGGAAATGCAAAACGGATGAGCTGGGGAGCTCCAAAAGCTGCAGAAGCAATGGAACGTACCTCAGTGTGGAGTGGCGTGGGAAAGGTGGGGGCGGCGCCAATAGGGTGGCTCGGTGTTCGCCCCCGGAAGAGAGGGATACATTGGACTAAGGCAAGGTCCCCTGGCGCCCTTCGCAGCTACACGAACGACACTTGTTCCTTCGTCATCTTTGAGCTCCTGGATACTCATCAGACGACAAGGCAATATCGCTCAACATTGAAACGAAGAGCGGCCGTGAAGAAGCCACGAACGAATTGTATTTGACACCCTGGAAGCTTTGGTGGGTTTATTCCAAGTCTAGGTTCAGCATCCTCCAAGCTTGAGCTCCACAGCGTCTGTATCCCTCTTCTTCTCAGCAACGTTGACCGTGAACTTACAAGCTTCCTAGACTCAACTCAGAGAGGAATTATTAAAGACCTACATATATCCTAATCGTCATCATCATCATGTTCTTCACAGGAGGTCTGCAAGAGGGCATTGCCACTGCACTTCAACAGAGCAAATGCGTCTTTTGCTTTGTCACAGGTAAGCTCACATCTTACAGCTCATGCTCATGCCATGGGACCTTCCACTGATGAGACGTAGACGAGGAAGCCGAGAGCCAGACTTGGGAGGATGAGTATCTGACAGAGAGCTCGGTACGTACTTGAGCTTCCCATGATGAAGACACTTCGGCTCAGGGACTAATGACTGGACTAGATTGCGACTCTGCTTCAAGACGAAGCCGTCGCGCTGCGCCTGAAGAAAGGATCGGAAGAGGCGGGCTATCTGGCTGCTATCTTCCCCCTGCCCAACACTCCCACCGTCGTCGTGATCAAGAATGGCGATCTGAAGGAGTACATCGTCGCAGGCACCAGCAAGGATGAGTTTGTCAGGCGCATCACAACCGCATTTCGCGGCGCTCAGGGTCAGCCAGCAGCAGCAGCAGCAGCTGCTGCTGCTCAACCCGCGTCAGCTACACCGGCACCAGTCTCAGCTCCCGCGCCGGCCGCTCAGTCGACCGACGACCTGTACGACGAGACGCCGTACAACCCTCCCGCGCCGCAGCCGCGCCGTCACCGCGAACCAGCAACCCGCCAGGCCCGGCACCTCCTCCCCAGTCCGCGCGGCCCCGCCACAACCCAAGAAGAAGCGCAACCTCCGCGCCGCCCTCAGAGCGCGGCGCGCGTCTGGAAGCCCAGCGCCTCGAGTCCGAAAAAGAAAGCCAGCAGCCCAGCCGCCGCGGCGGAGAAGGCCGAGACGGATAACTCCAAGCAGGCGGAGCAGACGCGTAACCACAAGGAAGCTCTGAAGAAGGCACGCCAGGAGGCGGCCGACGAAAAGGCGCGCATCCTGAGGAAGATTGAGGACGACCGCGCCGAGAGGAGAGCGAAGGCCGCGGAGCGTGCTGCGCTTAGGACCCAGGCTGCGTCGCCTAAGCTGGGGGAGGTCGCGGCCGCACTCACGAGATCCGAGTCGAGTTCGCTTGCGCCGTCGAGCTCGGCCGCGAGCGGGATGACGGCGCTGCAGGTCCGGCTTCTGGACGGGTCGACGATCCGCTCGCGGTTTCTAGCGGGAAGACGCTCGGCGGGGAGGTGCAAGTGGGTTGAGAGCGAGCTTACAGGTAGCGGGAGCGGCGGGGAGCCGTTCCGGTTCAAGGTTGTGCTTGCGCCGCGGCCGAGTAGGCTTATCGACGACACGGAGGAGGGTAAGAGTCTCGCGGAGCTGGGGCTGTCGCCGTCCTCGACGCTTGTGCTGGCGCCTGTTGGCGAGCACGTTGGTGCGGCGGGAGGGTCGTCGTTTGGGGAGATGGCTGTGACGTTTCTCTTGCTGCCGTTGACTTTGCTGCAGTGGCTTTGGGGGCTGATCTCTGGTGTGTTTTCTGGGCCGGGGCCGAGGCGGGCGGCGGCTGAGGAGCAGGGCGCGGAGCCGGTTACGGTGAGGGAACGGGAACAGAGGAAGCGTTTTCGCAGTTTGCGAATCCTGATGATCGGAGGGTGATCAGCTTTACAATGGCAATTCGGTAAGTTTTCCTGTCCGCTTAAACCCGAGGACAGACGTAAAGATGATGTTGAATCATGATTGCTGACTTAATCATAGCTCAACTTTGAACCGCGACCGGATGAGAAGAAGGACGAGTAAGAGGCTCAGGATGTATTGCAGGCATGTTAGGTGTTGCATCACATTAGACGAGGTGCATAGTGGTTAACGAGTGGGAATGTCATGTATTGTACACCGTCGGGAGATGTAATTCTTCCTCAATGGCCCATCTTTCAATGCTTCCGCCAATGCAAAAATGCCGTTTGAATCCCATGAAAAGCTCCATGCCCCAAAATTGTTTCTTTTGTTTTGCTTTCCCATTTCCCCGTTTTTGACTATTAAGTTACATATAACACCACCCCGACTGGTCGTTCAGCCGGAGGTGGCTCTTCAACACGCCGCAACGACGCCCTTCTCAGACGGAGAAAAGGGGCGTCTAGTACTGGCTGGCGGCGGCCTGGCAGGCCTTGAGCTGCTCGAGGTACCAGTTGCAGATCTGCATGTTGCCGCCGTGCTCGTCCATGCACTTTGTGAACTGCTGGGTGGCGCCGGCGCAGTTGTTGCCCCACTGCTGGGTGGTCGAGGACTCGCCCGAGGCGACGGGGGAGTTGTTCTGGGGCGCGGCCTCGGCGGGCGCGGAGGAACCGCCGCCGAACATGCCGCCGATGGCGTGGCCGATGGAGGAGCCGATTGCGACACCGCTGTTGAGGGCACGATTGATTTAGCTTCTGGTTCTTTCTTGAGATTTCTTTTTTTGAGGGGGTGGTTGTCGAGGAAGGGGGAGAGGTTCTTGGGCCAGGGGAAGCCTAGATATCTCCTCCTGCGGTTGGAGGTGTCTTTTGTAGGATGGGGGACGTACGCAGCGGTGCTAGCCATCTGGCCAAAGAGGCCGGGGCCCTGGGAGGGCGCAGCGGCGGCGGGAGCAGCGGGTGCCGCGGCCGGGGGAGCGGCGTGCTGTTGGGGGGGAGCGGCCATGGTCGTTGCCGGGCGAGTCTGGGTGGGAGCGGGCTTCGCGGCCGAGACGGTAGGGCGCGAGGGGGCGCTGGGGCGGCCGGCGGAGCGTTGGCGAGGCATCTTGGTAGGATTCGTGTGTGTGTGAAGGACTCGGGTGAGATGAGGTGCAGTGGTTGGTAGCGTTGATCGTGACTTCGTGAGGTGAAGGAGCGGGTGGTGTTTTGAAGAGAGCAGAAATGCCGGGTGGATGGGGAGGGAAGTCGGCAGAAGTTATGCGCCCCGGGGTTAAGGTGACAAAAGCTGTAGAGGTGCCTTTCGGCGTGTGTTGCAAAGCTCGGCGGGCCGGGGGTGGGTGGCGAGGTGTGGCCAATCAGGGGAGGGCGAATTTGGTCGTGGTCAGAATTTGGGGAAGGGTCCTTTCTGGTTAGATGGATATTTTGCTGGGGCGTAGCGGAGGTTAAGGTATATGTATTAAAGGGGGCGGGTATGGCAGTCTGAGTGGCAACGCAGTGGCATACTTCTAAACATGGAATAAGGGTATCTAGACAATACCGACTAGGGATCGAAAAGTCTTTGCTCATTACTTGGTCTTCGTCTCTATCTCCGGGGTATCCTTTTTCCCAGTGCGCAAAATAATACTACCACTCCAGTCCGTAAGGGTAATCTCTAGCCAATGCTGACCTACTTCCATGTCAGGGTGCAGTAAGGTCGGCTGTGATCTTCAATGTGCCTACCATGGTGTCATACAGCCACGCGCACCTCCAACTGGCAGTATCTCTCGTGGCTCGGAGGCGTCTAACTGTTTCGGCGATTCTTCCCCCATGTCCCGTGACAGCCAAACGAAAATCTTTTGTGTAAGCGGGATTGTGGACGTTCATCAAGGTCTTTACGGAATTCCGCTCTCAAGACTTGTTCTTGTTGGAGCTCTTCCTTCTTGAGTTCCTCTGCTTCTTCTCCGGGCCAGAGGAGCTGGGGGACGGCGACTCGGGAGCCGGCCTCTTGGTCTTCTGCATCGAGTTGAGCAGCGCCTTGGCGCGCTCCTCGGCAAGTTTCTCCTCCAGCCTCTTCTTCAGCGTCTGGTCGTTACTTCCCTGTGGTGGTCGGTCAGTTTCGCTTGCTCAGGCCGGACCTCTTTCCCCCTTCAAATGCGACTTACAAGGTCCGCTTTGAGAATGCGCGTCGCGGCTTCCGTGTTGACCGTTGTTGTGCGCTGAGCGGGTGTCTCCTCTGCACCCTTGATCTTGCCAAAGTACTGTTGCACGCGCTTCAGTTCTGTCATGACCTGGTGGTCCTTGGCGTCGACGCCTTGGAGACGGAGTGATGCTGTCATTTCGGTTAGTCAGGGGGACGACGACAACGATATATGTTTGCTGTATAATGATACTCACAGAAGAGAAGAGTCTCGATAGCATAGGCAGTCAGAGCATACATCTTGGCCTTGTCGAGAAGGGGGAGCTCGTTGGCCATCTCGGGAAGATTGTCAATCAGGGGCTTGAGCGCATCCTCAAGAGAGTCGATGTGAGAATCGAGCTTCTTCAGGTCGGAGGTCATGTCCTTGAGCGCCATGATGGTTGTTGTTGATGCAGCCGCGGAAAAATAAAAATCGATGATTCCAATGTTTGCTGGAAAATGGATGTAGTCCCTTGATGAAAAGCAACAATGAGATGGAGACGATTGATGTAAGTGAGTGTCTGGGCCTAGCTCCTTCTCATCGATGAGACTGGTCGTTGAAAATTCAGAAATCCGGGCGTTGAAGGATTTGCATGCATCTAACGAGGCGCAGGGATCGCCGCGAGCTCGGTGGGTCGGGTTCCTGCCGGCCGGGATTCTACGGCTACCACCTACCACGCGCCAAATTTTGAGAGAGAACCTAACGAGTGTCCCCGTCATCCACACCCATCTCAACGCCTCCTTCTTGCGACAAAGACAAGACCACACGCTCATTAACCACGAAAAAGAACGCCAGTAATACCCGAACACCATCCCCAACAATTTCGACGACGACGTACACTATCATCGAGTCGTTACAGCTATAACCGCTTGAGAACGCGCCCCAATCCTCCCCTTAATGAGCACTGCGCAGTGATTTGCGCCGAACCCTCGAAGCCTTCATCGTGGCAGGCACTCTGGCAAGCCTCCCGAGACCGCGGCTCTCCGCGCGGACACCCAAAACACATACGATATGGAGGACCGGTAGCGCCTCCACGGGCCGGGGAGCCATCAGATGTGTGTCGATCGATAATAGACTCGGTCTCGGGACGGGAGCAGCGCCGCCGCAGCATCGCCCCTGGAAGGTGGCGCCCAAAGAGATGGCAGCTACGGTTCCTGGAGGCACAACTCTGGGCGTGCCGGGCCAAACGAAACAAAATTCAATAAAGTACTGGGTCTACAGCCCGAGCAAAACGAAAAGGAACTATACGCCATCTTCAGGGCTGATTCGACGTCACGGTTCTACGTGCCGGCCGTCATGATGGGACACAACTCGACGCCGCCACCTTCGTCGCGTACGGTTCACGTTCTCGGAAACGACGAGCGATCGCTATTTCTGTCACATGCTCTGCACGGCATCTACGACTCGGTCAAGACGCTAGACATACCGGCCAACACACCATATCGGGGCATTGCCGGAAACCTAGGCACCAGGAAGAACCCAAAAGGCTGGATCGAACCGAATGCCGCATTAGAGACCTCGCCGGAAGTGGAGAAGGACGATACACATATCAGCAACCTCGTGGTGTCCGGGAGACCGAGCGAGAGCATCAAGCTACTCGAAAAGGTCAAGCATCGGATCGACGACCGGACGGCCGTCTGCTATGTTCAAGACGGACTCGGCGTCGCGGAGGCGGCCACCAACCGAGTCTTCCCGGAGAAAGACAAGCGCCCGTCGATTATGCTCGGACACATGACGCATTCCCTGGCATTTGACCGAAAGGCAAAGTCGGTCAAGGTGATGACACCCAAATACGAGACGGCGCTCGCCGGTGTGCGGCCCTACTACGGTCCCAAAAAGTCTAAGCACCTCTCGACAGACAGCTGGCTGCGGACACAAGGGATGATGAAGCAGTTTGCGTCGTCGGACCTCCTCAAGGCGAAAGGTCTGGCCCTCGACAGTTGGATGAAGGTCAAGATCCCGTCGCTCATGTTCTCGGCCGTCTGCGATCCTATCTGCGTCATGCTGGATTACCGCTACAATGAGCTCATCTACAATCCGACGGCCAACAAGCTCATCAATCAGCTCCTGAACGAGATCGCCGATGTGGTCGCGCGCATGCCCGAAGTCAAGAACTCGCCTGAGCTGCAGAGCGTTCTGCGGGGGGAGGGCATGCGCAAGGAGATTATGGGAAAACTTAGAGGGAAGGGGTCCGCGCCGAGCAAGATGGCGTTGCAGATACAACGGGGCATGTTGACGGATATTGACTATTTGAACGGCTTCTTTATTGAGAGGGGCCGTAGGCTGGGCGTGAAGCTGCCGGCGAACGAGATGGTCGTGGGTATGGTGAAGGCAAAGCATAAGGCGCAAGTTGAGAAGAACCGGTCGTACATGCCATTAGAGCTGACCTCAAGGAGGTGAATGAAGCGGTCGACGGCTGTACGACTGGACGTCTGTGTGTATTTTACTTGATGGGCGGTTTTAGCATTGTATGACTACATTCAAGCACAGAATCTAGACAGTTTAAATATTTCATCACATATTTTGAAGATCATAAACATTAGTATTGAATATGAGAAATCATTTGGTCTGTTGTGCTAGCTTACGTTGTTTATATTTGGTACTGCACGTCGTCATGAAATTTGTAAGGCGCCCAAAAAAAGACCCCAAGCTCCAACCCCGCCAAAAACTTGGACGTCAGGCAGATCAGAAAGAGCCCCGCGTTTCTCTGACCCAAACAACCTAACCTCCACCAAACCACTCCGCGCAAACATACGCAACAAGATACCCGCAACCATGGACGACTCCGAACTCGAACAAGTATGCAAATCATACCTTTTCTATCGCCAGAGCGCTTGAATACCTGGGACTGACGCACGCGACTACAGATCCGCAAGGCCCGCCTCGAACAGCTCAAGGCGCAAGGCGGCGCGGGAGGCAGCTCCGGCGGCGGCGGCGGCGGCTCGAACAAGCAGCAGCAGCAAGAACAGCGCCAGTATGTTCCCCTTAACCCTCATCTCCCTTCTCGAGGCACCTAGATCCCCTCAATTGCGACCGACTCATACCATCCCGACCACACTCTCCCCCTTCTTCCCTCCGCCCACCACGAAGAAACAAAAGACACAAGACATCAGCTAACCCAGCGTCCACCGCAGACAACAAGAACAAGAAGCCCGCCAGCAGATCCTCAACCAGATCCTCCACCCGGAAGCGGCGGACCGCCTGGGCCGCATCCGTCTCGTCAAGGAGCAGCGCGCGCAGGACGTGGAGAACAGGCTCATCATGCTCGCGCAGAGCGGGCAGCTGCGCAGCAAAGTCACCGAGACGCAGCTCAAGGAGCTGCTCGAGGCCGTGGCGGGGACGAAGGAGGAGGAGAAGATTGTGGTGAGCAGGCGTAAGGGGTGGGACGATGACGATGACGATTTGTTGGATTTGTAGGTGCGCTCTGCAGAGTGTGAGAGAGATCGGGGCAACAGGGGTTCATTTCATCAAGTTTGTGTGTTCTGTTCACGGTGTGTAGGGGTCTCTTTCGATGATGTTTGCCGCGTCGATTTTGAATCGTTTGGCGGGGAGACTATGAACCCACATCTGGGGAGGGACACCATGCCGGCGTTGGAGGGCGTTTACAAAGCATGACTGCAAAATGTAGCAGATTGGCTTCTGTCCGAGTGGGATTTCCACCAGGACTCTAAGGTTACCAAAAAATCAAACAAAAGCTATACAATATCTGTACAAACCCCGTGTCTATACACAACACACACAATACACACATTTTCTCAAACCCCTTCAAAGCCTCCTGCGCCCTCCTCCTCTCCTCCCTCTCCTTCTTCCGAATCTCCCTCATATTAGGCGGCCTCTCAATCCCCAACTCTGCCCTCAACTCATCCACGTCCCTCTCCAGCTGCTCCTCCCAATACACATTAATCACCTCCTTGGCCTTCATCCCATTCTTCACCGCCCACGGCCCATAAATCTCCCTGAACCGCTTCCTCTCGCCCGCCTTCATCGTCGCGTAACTCAGCACCGCGAACCCCGTCATCGGGATCAGCGTGTTGGCGAACTCGAACGCCTTGAGCGCCACCTCGCCCTCCCTCACAATCGGCAGCCCCGTCAGCGCGTGGAAGAAGTCGTGACACTCGCGGTACCGCTGCATCACGTACGCGCACTCCGGGTCGTCGATGTACCGCACCGCGGGCCGCGTGTCCGGGCTCACGCCCTCGGCGTCCAGCCAGGCGACGTAGGCGCGCCCGACGCTGTTGTCCGGCATGGCGCGCAGGCGGGACAGGTTGAGCGAGGTGGACGTGATGCGCGGCCGGTCGCGGAGGATGCGGCGGCCCGTCGGGTCGGAGAGCATTGCGTCGCGGAGGCGGTAGATGAAGTAGGGCGTCGCGGTGGTCTCGCCTACGGCGGCGATGAGGTCGGCTCGGTAGGGGCTTAGGAGGGACCAGATGCCTGCGCCGAGGCCGAGGGCGGCGCGTTCGATTTTGGTGAGGGGGACGTGGCCTGGGTAGTTTGGCGGTGGGCGGTTTAGGACGGAGAAGGGGCGGCGCGAGGGTGTGGAGGAGGAAGAGGAGGGTGTCGTTGATGTGCAGGCGGCGCAGATGGCGGGGAGGGCGCGGCGGGTTTGGGCCGCCGGGAGGGTTGTGAGGGCTTTCATTGTGCTGATTTGTTTCGTTTATGGTCTTTGGATTGGTGGCATGCCGTTGGATGTCGTCGGGAGATGAGAGATTGTGGGCGAGGGAGCCGTTGAGAGCTGTCGTGAGCTACTTGGTCAGTTTGGAGTTGAAAGTGGTTCGATGACGGAACACTTTTTGGAAGCTCGGGCAGCTCCCATTACCTCACCTCGGCGACGGTCCCCGAGAATCGTAGGTCGGATCGGGGAGTCGGTGGATACTAGCGCCGACCTTTCCAATTGGCGATTGCTGCCCGCTGCTGTGCATTTCTTCGGCAGTGGTTTAGGTGAGCATTTTGGTGGTGGGACAGGGCCTGCTATTCCAGATCGTTGGAATTGCACCCCGGCGCATTTGATTCGTCCCTTCAGCTTTAAGGTGAATTTCGTCTCAACTTCTTCCATCTTGTCAACCTTGGAGCTTTCACAATAACAAGGCTCTGCTGCCAACGAAATCTTATTCTCGGGTTCACTAGGTGTGAGCGCAACTCCGAGTTCTTCCAGAAACAGATATACTCGAATCCGGGCCTTCTGGACCTGCATCTCACTCTCATTCAAATCTGTCGTTTATGGATGAGAGAACCGTACATCTTGCCGGGATAAGACTAAAGGACTACATCTCAAAAGACAACTGCTCCTTGACCAACTTCTCTCACAGAGGCTGCATTTGACTACCAAGTTCTCAAGTCATGCTTGCATGAACTTTCATCACTTCTCTAAAATACTACTACCATTGCCTCGCCCTCCACCATCTACTCCACTCTCGAGTTCTAAACAAAACACCAAATGGACGCCATCGAGAACCTCCTATCCTGGGCCCAGACGCAAGGAATAACAGTATCCAACGTCGGTCCCCGCGCCCTCCCAGGAAGAGGCATAGGAATCGTCGTAACATCACCACTCAAAGTAAGCCACACATGTTCACAACCATCATATACCCTCATCTCACTAACACCACCACCACCCCAGAAAGACGACACAATCCTAGACGTCCCAATCCCCTGCCTCAAAACAATCGCAACAACCCCAAAACCCCTAACCCGCCCCTTCCCAAAAGAAACACACGTCCACGCCCTCCTGGCCCTAGACATCGCCCTCGACGCATCCCCCTCCTTCAAAACCTGGTCCGCCGTCTTCCCAACCCCCCAAGACCTCTCCTCCTGCCCGCTAACCTGGTCCGCCTCCTCGCCGACCCGCCGACCCTCGCCTCCCTCCCCTCCCAAGCCCTCACCCTCTCAAAGCCCAGCGCGAGAAATTGAATCCCACTGGTCCTCGTCTCTCCACGCCCCTCCCAGACCCGCTACCCCAGGATGAGGAACACCAGTACCGGTACCCAGAAGGTAGCGACGGCAAACTCACGTACGAGTCCTACCTCCACGCCTGGCTCCTCGTGAACTCGCGCACATTCTACCACGTCACACCCAAAACCGCAAAACGCCACCGCGACGACCACATGATCCTCCAACCCGTCGCAGACCTCCTCAACCACGCCTCCCGCGGCTGCTGTCGCCTTTGACAAGCACCCTTCACCATCAAAGCTGATCGCGCCTACGCCGCTGGCGAGAGATCCACATCTGCTACGGCCGCCACAGCAACGATTTCTTGCTGGTCGAGTACGGCTTTGTCATGAACCAAGGCGAAAACGAGTGGGATGAGGTCTGTATCGACGACCTTCTGCTGCCGCGCCTAGGTGCCGCGCACAGACGACGGTTGGAGGAAAGGGGGTTCCTGGGGAATTATGTCATTGACGCCGAGACGGTATGCTACCGTACGCAGGTGGCGCTGCGGACGCTCGTGTTGCCGGCGAGGCGGTGGGCGCAGTTTGTGGACGGGTTTTCGGACGGAGAGGCGGAGCAGCCCGAGGTCGATGCGTTGCTGCGCGAGATGTTGTCGGCGTACAACGAGGAGATTGAGTCCAAGATTGAGACAGTGCGTGGCCTGGATGAAGGTCAGCAGTTTCAGCGGGACATGGTAGTGGCCCGCTGGAAGCAGATACAGCTGCTCGTACGCGGCACGATAGACAAGTTGAAGGCTTCCAATACACAATAATCTACCGGTCCCTGCAAAGGAAAGAGCAACGAGGCGTGAAATGACGAAACGAAGTCGTAGATTGTGCTTTTCAGTTCTGAACTGTAACGCCGTAACCGAGGTGCTAGGGACCGTTCCCACGCAGCCATATTCTAATAGTACACATACAATAACTCAAAGCAAACATCTTGCATTTTGGTGGTTGCTATCATCCATCCGTAGCAACAATGAGCTTCACGACGTCGCAGCCAATATACCCGTCACTCATCTGAAGACTAGAGGCCTTGATCAACTGATTCTCTCTGATAAGCGCGAAGAGATCTCGTCGATGAGATAGTCCTCGTCGAAGGAATGAATCCTAATCGTGATGCGATGAGGAGGTCGTGACCGAAAGCTCTACGACGCGGCGACAACTGGATCGCGCTGCGACAAGCCGGTCCGGCCATTACCTCAAGATCGCGCAAACTGCCTTGGCCGGTAGTCCTACTCGGGTCGAGGTCGCTTCGCACCGTGAGGGTTGCCCCAGTCGTTACCACCGCCCTGGTTACCGCCGAAGAATGCAGGGTTGAACTGTTGAGGCATGCCTTGGAATCCTGGGAACGAGTCAGCTTGAGTGTTCTCTGACAAAGAACAAACGAGAAAGCAAACAGCAGAGAAATCAGTCAAAAACGTTCAGCGACGAGCCTATTGGTGAGGCGGCATCCTCGAGCCGAACCGAGTAGCTGCAGGGGGTTGAGGGGCAACGATGGTAAACTGCAAACCGCGCTCCTTTGTCCATCGGCCGACCTGGTGCAATTACAGGCTTTGGGTGTTCGATACATGCGTTGCACCTTCTGCCGTTTGGTGCTCGAAGGGATCTCGTCTCGGCCGGTGTTGGCAGCTTTGCCTTTTCGCCGACCAGAGTGCTTGCGCTTCTGGGTTGAACCAGAGACAAGTCGAGATATTGGGGGTTGTGACTTCGCTGGGAGATTTAAAAAAGAGTCGTACCAGGCATTCCGCCGCCCATCATGCCCATGTTAGGCATACCCATGTTGGGCATGCCTCCCATCGGGCCCATGTTCATACCGCCCATCGGGTTGTGCATACCGCCTCGTCCACCACGCATGCCGGGGCCGCCGCGCATGCCACCACCGAAGCCGCCGCCCCGCTGGAAACCACCGCCGCCGAAATTTCCGCCACCCATGCCGTTGTTGAAGCCGCCGCCTCCCATGTTGTTATTGTTGAAGCCACCTCCCATGCCGCCCGAGAAGTTGCGGTTGAATCCGCCCTGGTTCATGCCACCACGAGGACCATTGAAGCCTCCACGACCACGGTAGCCGTTTCCACGGAAGTCGCCGCCACCCATCGAGGAACCCTGGTTGTTGTAGTTGTTGTTGTTGTTCGGTCGGCTGCCCTGGTCTTTACCTGCGCGGTTCGGTGCATCCTTAGGCAGCGTGCGGAACGGGTTGACGTGGGGGTTCGAGTAAGTGACCTGGTATTTCTTCGGTACGCCTTGAGCGCTGTCTGTCGACTCAAAAGCGTGCTTGGCGGCCGTGGCAGCTTGCTGCGATGTGAACTCGATGTAGGCTTGTCTGTGGGCGAGTCAGCAATAGTACACGCAAATCTACCTCACACTACGAATCATACCCCTTGCTCTTTCCGTTCACCTTGTGTTCACTGAAAGTTTGAGCTCGTCGCAATGTGCTCTGGCGTATCCTCTGATGTCGTCGTCGTCGTGTTCCACCAGTTGAGGTCCGAAACCATCAAAGCTGTGGTCGCGCCTGGATCGATCGGCCGGTCGTCGCCCTTTCTCTTGACACCCTGCTGGGGAGCAGGCGCCTCTTGCTGGTCGTGATATTCTTCCTGCTGGTCGTGCTTCTGCTGATCGTCGTGGTGCTCCTGCTGGTCATGCTGTTCCTGGTGGTTGTCCGCATGACCGTTGGCTCCGTCGTAGTTCTCGGCGTTTCCGTCTTGGTGATCTTGGGGCGCATCGCCGTAGATATCGATCTCGAATTCCTCCTCAGCCATGGTGACGTTATTATCTGGTAGCCGTGAGTTGGGGCAGTGAGCTTGGTTGTAGTTGGAAAAAGGTTGTTATTAGTCTGCGAGATACAGGATATGTCTGCAGTCTTGAACATGATCATCAGCCGCTGCCAATACAGGGTCATTGCCAAAGCCTGAAGCCAAAAGACAAACTCGAACGTAGGATAGAAAACAGAGAACATCTGATACGTACACTCCTCGTTCCGCAGACAGGATGGAAGAGGTTGGATGGAAATTGCCAAGCCAATATAATCCTCTCCTTTAGCCAAATAAAAATGAAGACGAAGCTCTGTGCTCCGGTCTTCCCCAATGGCGACGTGACCGTAGTTCTTTCCTTGTTCGGCCCAGAAGCCTTAGGTACAGGGAACAAGATGATGTAGTTGAGACGAGGGAGAATGGAAACAGGATCCCGAGATTCCAGAGACTGTTTGCTCGTTCTGCCACCGCCTTTGGCCGACGCTCCAACCGCGTTCCTGCCCGCTCACTATGTGGGCGATGCTGTTAGCCGTGATGAGTTAGTGGTCAAGGAAGCCCAATGAAGGTTTCCGGCGGATTCGCGAGTAAGCCGCGGCTGCGCGTCGCTTCGCTGAGTATCTGGCGTTTATCGCGATGACTGAAAAATAGACGCGTAGGTTAGCTTGGGTAGAGCTGTGATATTGTCGTGCAGCTCAGGTATGGACGTCTCGGTTTGATGTTGACGCGAAGAAAGAGATGCGGTCGACGAAGGTGAGTGGAGGAACGTTTGGGAAGGGAAAGAAAACTGGGGGGAGCTCTTTCAGGAGCTGAGGTCGCATCTTGAGCCAGGCGGGACTGGACAAGGGCCATGGCCGCCAGGCTGCGGCAGGCACAGACTCCGCCAGTGGATGCCCGTATGGGGCTCGACTGCCCGCTGAGCCGATACGTACCTACCTCCTCCTCCTCTGTCATGCGCCTGAATGCGCTGAACTGTGGCTGGTCAAAATGGCCCAGACCAGACCCTCTCTGCCCACTAGCGGGGGAATCCAGGGGGTCTTCCTCCACTGAAGGGGAGCACCAAGGGAACTCCTATCATCCCAACCTTAGATAAGCAATCTGTCCAGTGGCGTGCGCCTCGGCGGCCGGCGCATTATTCCTCCATGCCTCCTTTATGGCAATCTGGCTCTTCCTTCCACAGCGGGAGCTTGTCCCGAAATTTTGGGGACCAGTTGGTGACAGCGCGCTCAATTTAACACATCTCCCTTCTACCCATTCGAACCTCTCGAATCTTCCACCTCCCCGACCTGCAACGCCTTAACTACACGTCGTCGCGCCTTTCCTTCATCGACTTTGCAGTTTCCTGTTACCCTGCGGCCCATTGGGATTTCCTTTGCGACTTTCATCAACTTACCCACCCCTTTCTCTTCTCCGCATCCCACGCGCGCTTCTATCCACAATGGCCGACCAAGTCAAGGAGATCCTCGAGGTTCCCTCCGAGTTCGCTCAGGAAGGTGTTCAGTTCATGAGAAGGTGCACCAAGCGTACGTTGCGCCCTCATGTTGCATTGCCCCTTCGTTATTCGAATACTAACGTGTCCTTTAGCCGACAAGCTCGAGTTCCTGAAGCTCTGCCAGGCCGTCGGTGTCGGTTTCCTCATCATGGGTGCTGTCGGCTACATCGTCAAGCTGATTCACATTCCCCTTAACAACATCCTTGTCGGAGGCGCATAAACGCCATGTATCTACCTGTCAATGGAAGCACCGATATGTCGGGCCAGCTTCTCGAACACGTTCACGTCGACACGTGACGACCAAACATGATTTTAAACGCAGGGATGGGTCTCAAAAGCATTGCACGGGCAGATTGCAGAAGCGGCGCAGCAACACTTGGAAGAGGTGCTGTGCGGGAGTGATGGGAGATACCCCGAGACCAAAGAGGCTTCATCGATCATGTATCATTGCCAAAAGAGGGGTGGGACATGTGTGGAAGATGTACAAAATAATTAAAATAATCATCCCACAGAGCTTTCCAAAAGTGATCCGGTTCCTGACGAGAAGTAACTAGCTTTGGAATGATTCGCCAACGGGGCGCAGCTTCTCGTCGACATTGCGACCCATTGGCGGCTCTGCCTCGTCATCTTCGGCTTCATTGTACGAATGCAGCGTGCAGGTCCCGTGAGCCATGTTGAATCCGTTCCATGCAGACGTATAGACCGAAACTCGCAGAAATATGAAGGACTTACCAGCGAGGACTGGCGCATTGGGATGCCAGCTCACGTCGCGCACGCACGTGTTCCAACCGGGAAGTCGTCGCCGTGATATATACGGTATCTGCGCTCCAGTGGCCGCGAGTTCTGGTGGCCTTCCTCACGTCGATGGTGCCAGCGAGCGTGGCGTCCATGTTCCAAATGTAAACCTTGCCATCCTGACTACCAGAGTAGACATAACGCGAATTGGTACTTGATGGCGGTGAAAAGTGGCATCGAATCAGCGTGCGCATTACACGGTGTCCTCTGAATGTCACCAACGAGTTATCGTTGGGGTGCGGAACCAGTCTTCGTCCTATATGTTCCCCACCGGTAGTCGAAGTCGCTGTTGCTGGTTAACCTAGGGGTTGACCTCGTCGTACTTGGCCGTGGACATGACCATCCTCAAGTCCCAAAGCTTCATTGTCTGGTCCTTGCCGTTACTCAGAATGTATCGACCGTCGCCTTTACTGTCAATGTACGTGAGACCTTCGACATGGCCCACGAAAGCGCCAGCTGGCCGGCCGTCTCCCATGCTACGTCGATCCCAGACTTTAATTGTGGCATCGTCCGATCCAGAGTAGAGAATGTGCGGAGAAGACTTGTCCGCAAAGCACACAGCGTTCACGTCGTCTTCGTGCCCGACGACATTGTGTAATACAGTGCGCGATTCAATGTCGTAGACGACGATCGACTGCATGTTGGTGCCGGCCACGAGCAGACCGACCTCTCCCGAAAATCTGACAGACCAAAAAAGGAATGTCTCGATCGCCATCCTGCGTGTCGAGTTCCCGCACTCCTCTCTGCCAGATCCAAAGTGTATGGGTCTCCCGTGTCGTTGGGATCCGTAGGTGCCAGACAAACGTTGCTTTGAATTGATGTATAAGCAAGCCAGCGGTTGTCAGGACTCAAGGATGCGTCGGTCAGTGTCCACTGTCCCCAGGGGTAATTAACCGTCTTGTAATATTTCCAATTGTACGGATTCGATGTGTCGTACATGCGGACCTTGAAGTCGTGACCGCAGGCGTAAAAGAAATTACCGTCGTCGGAGAACTGGCCGGAATACACAGGGTCGTCGTAGTGCACAATCATTTCGGGGTTTGTCGAGGGTATCATTCCCTGGGCCATGAGATCTTGGTTCTGCTTCCGGTCACGCCTATCCCCCAGACCGAGCTCACGGTCTAATATCCTGCGTGCCAGTTGCTTCTTCTTCGTCACTCGATAATCGTTTGCGCCGAAAACGCCAGAGTGCATCAACTTCGTGCCCTCCTCGCTCGGTACTTTAGGGAACCGATTCGGCTCCCGTGCGCGAGGCCGTCTCCGTCTTCTTCCCCAGCCAATATCTTCGTCATCGTCTTCTTCGTCGTGAGTGGTGCGTAATGTCACTTCGCCACTTTGAATGAGGCCTAGCAACTGTGCTCGTGTAAGAAACCCTGTTCCGTTGCCCGCAGCACCAGCTGTATCGTAGATTAGCGAGATTAGCACACGATTCGACTTGAGCCTAGGTTTTGACTCACTGATGAGAGTCATGAGTCTCGATATTGGATTAGCGGCCATGCCGTCTTCCTCAGCATCATCGTCGTCCTCGTCGCCAGCACCCATGAACACTTCCACCTCTACGTTGCTGTCCTCGCCGTCCTCAGCATCTGCGCATGGTCAGTCTCTGTATGGTCCAACGTCAAAGAGAGGTGATTGCTACCGTGAAACTCATCATCGTCGTCCCCGTCTTCTTCCTCTGGCTCATCTTGAAAGTCGGGGTCGTACTCATCGTCGTCGTCCATTCCTTCGGCATCTTCCGGATCATAGGTATAAGTCCAGGCAGGCTCATCATCCTCTTCAATCAAATTCATGCTTGCTGATGGCGATCGAATGCTGTCCCCAGAGTCGTCCATTTTGGCTTTGGGTTCACACGGAAGTTCGGATTGATGCTTAGTGATACAACGGAGCTCGGATTTGAGACTGCCGACGTGTGATGGAGGGTCCTATGCAAGAATGTCCGTGGCAATCGTTTAGATGCCGAGCTATATGTACGTGGTGCGTTCTAAGGCTGACGTGAGAGCAAGACGATTAAAGTGAATAGGAGAGACAATAGGACGCAACGCTCAGATTATGTTTCATGAAGAAGTGGTCGTTCGTGACGACATTCATTCAGTCCCCGGGGGAGGTGGGGTGTCCTGGACCAAACGGCGGAGATAAGATAGCACAGCTGCTGTAAGCTCCGGCAAGCCAGTGGCGCCAGCTGTTGAAGCTCCCGTCTCCTCGGGCACTTTAGAGATACGTACCCTTTTCGGGTCGAGCCAAGCATCTTCTTGGAATTCTGTCAGCAAATCTGGGGTCGACTGGATGCAACCTGGTCAGATGCGAGTCAAGCGCAACGCAGCACACCTTCGAGTGCCGTGTGTTCTCAAGTACACCAACCGGTTCACGAAATGATAAAGAAGGGTTCAGCGAGGACAATCCTATCTATTAACGTAGCTGTTATACATATGTACGGCGGCATTGAAAGTTTGTTTTACACCCTACGCATGCATGAACAGTCGATTGTCTGCAGTTCAACTGCTTAATGCGCCTATATGTCTTAAGCCGTTATCCGAAGTTATGGGCTAATTATAGTATTATAGGTATTAAAAGCGCTCTAGTTACGGGCTAATTATAGCGCTATGAGTACTAGAAGTGCTCTAGCTATAGGCTAATTATAGTATTACGAGTATTAAAAGCGCTCTAGTTATAAGCTAATTATAATACTACGAGTATTAGAAGCGCTTTAGTTACTACTTAGTTATAATATTATAGGTACTAGAAGTACTCCGGCTATAGGCTATTTAAAAATATTAAAAGCGCTCTAGTTACGGGCTAATTATAGCGCTACGGGTGCTAAAAGCGCTTTAGTTATAAGCTAATTATAATATTACGGGTGCTAAAAGCGCTCTAGCTACCGCCTAGTTATAGTACTATAAATACTAAAAGTACTCTAGTTACGGGCTACTTAAGGACGCTAGAAGCGCTCTAGCTATAGGCTAATTATAATACTATAGGTACTAAAAGCGCTCTAACCACGGGCTAATTATAATACTACGGGTACTAAAAGCGCTCTAACTACGGGCTAATTATAATACTACGGGTACTAGAGGTACTCTAATTACGGGCTATTTAAAAATACTAAAAGCGCTCTAGCTACGGGCTAATTATAAAGCTATAGGTACTAGAGGCGCTCTGGCTATGGGCTAATTATAGTATTACAGGTATTAAAAATACTTCGGCTACTGCCTAACTATAGTATTATAAGTATTAAAAGTACTCTAACTATAAGCTACTTAAGGACGTTAAAAGCGCTCTAGCTACGGGCTAATTATAGCACTACGGGTATTAAAAACGCTCTAGCTATGGGCTAATTATAGTACTACTTATGAGTATTAGAAGTACTCTAACTACGGGCTATTTAAGGATATTAAAAACGCTCTAGCTATAGGCTACTTAAGGATATTAAAAGTGCTCTAGCTACGGGTTACTAAGGATATTAAAAGTGCTCTAGCTAGTTACTAGGCTAACTATAGCGCTACGGGTGGGTATTAAAAGCGTTTATAGCTACTACTTACTTACTTAAGTATAGCGCTATGGGTATTATAAGTAAGTGCTCTAGTTACTTATTTACGGGCTAATTATAGCGCTACGGGTGCTAGGGGCGCTCTAGCTATGCTACTAGCCCGTGCGCGGGGGTGCGGCTAATTAGCACCCGGAGAAGCCTCTGGCCACGCTAGGGCCTCCGGCTACGCGCGCATTGGGGCTAGTTATTAACGCCTCCTTACCCTTAAGCCTGAATAGTATCCTACTAGGGCTAGTACTTATGATGCTGGCGAGCTATTAGAGCGTCTTAGTTAGTATGCTATTTAGTTATTAGTTATACTATTCTATTTTATGATTAAAGCTCTTTTTAAAATAAAATAAAACTAATTACTCTTATATAGCCTCTTTATTTTATTCTTAACTTTATTTTAGTACTATATTCTTAGTCCGTATTTACTTAGTAACGTTATAGATTTTAAAAAGATTATGAAACCCGAAATACTTAACTTATTATAGCCTTTATTTATGATAAGTCCTAGTTTATATTTTTTTAAATCCCTATTCTTAGCTATTTAGTATCCTTAGTATTAAGTTTAGCTATATATTAAGTTATTATTAGCTCTATAGTATCTTTTTACTACTATTACTTAAACTAAGTCCTACCTTAGTTTTATTATTATTAATAATTTAATATTATACGTACTTCTTGCGTATTTATATTTATAACTAAACCGTTATTAACTTTAGCTTAATTATTATGTACTTAGCCTCCTACTAATAATATATAATATTATCTCTTATTATAATAAAATAATAATATATAAAGTAACTATACCCTTATAAAACGTTAAGCTATTTAATAACTAAACTATTATTACTAAGTAAAGTATTAACTTTTAGATTAACTAGATCTAAGTAACTATAATAGTCCTTAATATTTTTAAAAACCTCTTTTAATTAATACTGTAGTAAAAGTATAACTTATATCGCTATTAAGTTAAATAGCTATTTTATATTTTTAATAAATAAGTATATAATACTTCTTATTAATTTTAATAAAGCTATTTATAACGATTTAATACTACTTATTCTCTAATAATAAATAAGTAGTATAAAGTAATCTTCTTATTTATTATTCTTTAATTATTTTATTAATACCCCTTTTTTATAGTTTAACTTTAGTAATTACTTATATAACCCTAACCCTAAGTTTTTAGTTAATAGGAAGTACTAACTAATTATAGTACTAACCTAACTCTAACTAATATTGCTCTAAAGCTCGGATTATATTTTATAATTTGTATAGCCGTTTCTACTTAAATCGCCTCTGAATAATACCTAGGCTATTAATATAAACAATGGCTGTCAGGGAGCGGCGGGTGCGCTTAGACGAGCGGCGAGAGCGGGAGTTGGCTCCGTCATCATCATCAATATCAGCGGCGGCAGGCCTGCGGCTTCGGGGAGTGGCTGACTTGCGAAGGCCTGGACATAAAGTTAGTATCATGTTTTCAAATCCAGATTTAATGTCGCTGTTTGGAACACTGCATGTCGTCATTTCAAAGTACTTACGATCGACGGCGTCGGTAATGTCGGTGACGATCGGGACAGGGGCGCTGCTCTCGGAGCTTGGCTGCAGCAGGTGTCTCGCGATCATGGTTTCACGGATCACGCGCAGGATGTCATCCGTCTCGACCGGGGCATGAGTCTTGGACTTCTTGAGGCTGGATATCGAACGAAGGATGTTGGTCGAGGAGCAGACACCCGGGCTGAGGTAGAGGAAGAGGAGGATGGGGTCGGAGAGATCGAGGGCGTTGGCGGCGTTGCGTATGCGAGCGGGCCCCTCGGCCTTGGCCTTTGCGGCGGTGTAGTCGGGGCCGAAGATTGCGTGCATCTGGGCGACGATGCATTCGGGGCCGAAGATCTTCTCAATAAAAGCCGGGAAGTCGAGGATGTGATGCCGCTTGGAGTGGTGGACGCCTTGGCGGTGAATGCGGCTGGCGGCAATCCACCATTGGTCGTGGAGCATGTCCCAAACCTGGCGAAGCTGCCTGGACTCGACATCGACATTCTCCAGGTCGGTCATCAACCTACGACGAAGTCGATCTATCTCCTTGTCTCGCTGGAGCTGGACGCTGGCATCTTGCCGCTGGTCCTCCTCTGCGTCGGACATCTTGAAGCAGGGAGACACTGTATTGGATACATTAGAACACACCAAGTTTTCTACCACTATGCATGTATATGAAACGTACGTTATTATCAAAGGGCGTGTTGAAGAAGGGCAAACAGACGTCAAGGAGGTGCTCGGCTGACAGGGAGGAAAGTCGACAACAGACAGCTAACATAACGATCGAGGGGTGTGATGTCGAACGAAGAATCACGAAGTCAATCAGGGAGACATGAGTCACACGGTTCAGCATTGCTTCTATCTGCATGATAAGGGGCACGTAGCATCGTTGAGGATGCAGGCAGGAACAAGCTCAGATACATCGTCCAAGAGGAAAGACTGGTGTACACATGGCGCTATCTTCTGCCGTAGCATGAACTGACATTTTCAAGGCAAGAAAGAACGCATCCCCAAACACCTTCTACTGCTTGAGATGAGCAGATGACTCAGGATATCCTGGAAGTTTCCCACAGCCGGCAATTCCTGGGAAACTGGGCAGACAGTTCTGGAATGTGACAACGTAAGGCTGCCGGCGCCTCTTCTGCTGTTCGAGTCCAGTGCCAATCCAGTCAACGGACATAATGTAGACTCGTTTGGATCCGTTAGATGGAAACGTCGAGTGCAGATTGATCGAGGTATTGTTAGTTCCAAGAATTGATCTTCCTACTCCAGCGCCGAATCGTGGCTCGCGGTTGGGCTGTTGGACTGGGAGAATTGGTCAAGCTGGATATCCCAGTGATGCGCGCGTATTTGTATCAGTGACAGTCGGCCTGATACCGATGCAAAAATGTTTGATGCACTGGCTGCAGTCAACGGCGTACTAGTGCGGTTTGTTGATGATGTACGTTGGTGACGATGTTAGGTTGCCATTTGGGTCTTTGAAGGGAAAACAGCTGTAAGAGCGGATGCATCTTGCCCACCTGCTGTTTCCAGATTCAGTTTCCCCCAAAGAGGCCAATGCACTGTTTGGTCCTGCCACATGATCGTAAGGTAAAGTACCTAGGCAGAAGGCAGGCGTGGCCCTTTGCCCTTCCTGCTTCCCCCTCGTCACTTGCAGAGGTGGCGTCTTCCTTCCCTCCCAGAGTTGACGCAGTGTTCTTGCTGTGAAATTTCTTCTGGATGAGCTCCAAACTTCCCCTCAATTTCTTCCACACTTCTTCATCAACAGAGCACCCAGAACAGGACGACTGCGCCACTCTTTCGCCCTTTTACCTTTCACTGTGGTATACATAGATTGATCGACGTACGAAGCGGCGATATCGAAATTCGCTCATGGCGTCCGAAAACCAGCAGCCTGAGCCTGAAGCCTGGGCCGCGTCAAAAGCCATTGATGTTACTCGCGAAAGGCGAGCGAAACCCCCCTTCAGAGGCTCAATGGTTCCGATTGTTACCGTTATCAACTAGCTTGGTCACCGTCGGCCGGACATGGCATCCACCGCCCGCGACATGGAGCATCTGGCCCGCGCGATCCAGAGACTCCAGGATGAGGCCGAGAGTGACAGCTCACTTTCGCATACAAATGGATCCAACCCGAGTTTGACGGGATCCAAGTAGGAGCGTGAAGATCATTAGACGGATCTCCAGAATTGTGAGTACTGAAGACTTTTGGGTTCGACTCTTGCTGATCTTGATGTGCTTGCAGGTTCGACGACGAAACACCAGGCAAACCATGTATTGCAAAGGCATGGTTCGTCGTCGCCTGACACAATCCTGTGCCTGCATATACCTTTCGGGCCTGGCTCGGGGGTCTCTCAATATGACGAAGACGCCGTATATGGGGATGACCGGACATGTTATTTGGGTAGATGCGGTGGCGTACTTGAGGTGGAGGCACTTTGCATATCTTGTGGGGGAGATTCGGGTTTGGCCGGAACTGGTTTTTGCAGAATCATTTTGCGGACACTGTGAACGCTGAAGCAATCCCCCTCGTGCTCCCTGGAGCGAGGCCGTTGGGGAATTCGCCGTCGAAAGACTTGGTTGTGCCTGAGATACCGTCACAATGCAAATCTTGGTCGTTGCCATCTCTGTGCCTGTTTTGAATCTTGTTCCTCTGTACAAGCCAGGGCCATCCTCCACAGAAGATCTATTTCAGCTTCCAATGGTCCCCGAGATCCGGAACTAGTTGCCCCGTGGAAAGCCGAGCAATGCATGCAACACACACGTCAAGCCTGTGATGCTCTGCACATTTCGCCACCTCCCGCCACACAGTCTAAGAGTGACCCATTCAATCGGCAACCTGGCAGACATAGATACGGCGGTTCTTGACACAGCGACGGCTTTGCTGCCCTTTCGTTGAGGTAAAGAATTATCCACAAATCCTTGCACAAGCTTCGCTGTTGAAGCAGTATTGGAGTTGCTAAGGGGACGTCATGGGGCTTGGCCTTACAGAACCTCGTCCAGCCTTGCATCTGACGATTTATTGTGTTCTCCGAGTGCCTTGAACATCTTGGAGTGCACTCAGGATACTCGTGTTGCGTCCAGCGACTACGTTTCACGAGGCAGATGCCATTCCTGGCTTTTCAAGACTCGTCACACCTCGCCTCCGATCGGAGATGGAGGGACCGAACTGCACTAAATGCCGTCTAACTGCGGGACGGGCCGTCCCGTGTGTCATACATGTTCGGAGCTAATTGGGGCTGGGCCGAGAACAGCCTTGTCTGACGTTCAAGTCCACCATGTCCCGAGTTGCAGCATGGAAACTCAATACCACCTTTATCCCCGTTGCAATCAACTAACGGTCCGGGCCGGTTGAGAAGACACAGTGAACGAATCTAAGCAAATGTCCAGGGACACCTAGAACCGTCGCTGTCACGCAACTTGTGAGCGTGCCACGGGCAGTGGTATGCGACTATAACGCTGGGTACGAACGCTGCGTGCTTATAAGAGAGAAAAGCAAGAAAGACTAAAAGGCCACATTCTTCCTCAACGACACGACATGCTGCGCCGCATAGAGAACGAATAGGTGTTTACTGCTTCAAAGTATTCAGACCAGACTCAAATTAACATCAGAGGCATAGGAACGTTTATCAATAGACTCGAGGAGGACTTCGAGCATTGTCAAGATGCTTTTGGGAATCTTGTTCGACAAACAACGATAAACGTTCTTCTACGCGGCGGCGAACGGTTGAGACGTTCAAGGGCTCGGGTATACGCAAGCGTACATCGTTGGAGTCGCCGGTCAGACCGCCCAGGTTCTCCTTTCAAACATGGGAACGAGGCGAATGCTAAGAACATACAGACGCTAGTTAGGTTGTTTTGACCGTTTGATCGGCAGGCCGCGGTAGCCTCGAAGAACTAGCAGCGAACATGGTGCATGCTTCTTCCCTCAAGGTGGCCTCATTACAATCTTCGTTTTCCAGGCACCAACAGCCGAACGCCGCGGACTCTAGTTAGTGAAGCCCGTGCGAACTACTCGAAAGACCTGGTAGTTCCACTCCTCATGCTGAGATGGAGACATAAGCAATGCTGCTCACGATACTCGCAGGGGCAAAGCGCAAGCTTCAAGACACGAACGTGGGTCGGCCTACATTACTGGGTCAGTCCAGGCTTAAGCGCTCGTACAATACGTCTTGTAATGGACCCATTCTGCCTTGTGAAAAGCCTCAACATTGCTACCTGGGCGGACGTGGAGGTAATCGGACTGCAAAGCCTACTGAAGAGGCGCCGGTCAACGAGGCTCCTTAGAACTAGCAAGGCGCCTTCTCAGACATCCAGGTGGAGCGTCTAGTTAAAGATTGTATGCACTACTAGGCTTCGGTCAGTTGCTATTTTAGATAAGAGGAGGGAAAAGATGGCAGTGACCTTCGAGCAGCAGGTCCTTGGCTGCAAGGCACTGAAGGGATGGGAGGACAAGCCGAGTTGAGGTTACTTGCATCATTCTCATTTTGCAGCATGATCTCCTGGTGACTTGACTCAATGCTCATGTCATTTAGACTTGGCTGTTGCATCCGCTTCACATGCCCTTTGAAACTTTCACGTATCACTCCATTGACCAAGTCAACGCACGTCTAGAGCTGACTCTCCCCACCGCCAGGATTATCAGAATGCTTGTTCGACTTACAAACCCTCAACCATAAAACGAGCTAAGACTTTAAGAGCGTTGTTGTCCATGAAGTTTCAACAATCACTCATCAACTAGGTAGTACCGCGCAGCCGCGATTTCTTTAATAGCGTCCAAAGAAAGCTTCTCATTTGCGAGAGTCCAGCCTCAACGTTGTGTACCGCGTTTTGATGCTCACAAGACAGAGCCGTGTCCGACTTCTTAGCCTCAGATAATGTTCATGCCGCCCTTATAGTTGTGGTTTGTGTGAATCTCATAACTGCAGAAAGAATATCTGATTCCTCATTATCGGGTATAATTGAAGCTGGCTGGACAGGCTAGACCAACCGGCTATTTCGTTCCATGGACCGCTGGGGCTCACAGGAATCGAAGCAGTCATTATCTTCTGCTAATTGCGTACGTTGAGACTCATGAGAATTGCATGCATGGTGAGAGAAAATAGGCCAACGGCTAAGGTATACACAGCTGCACCGCTGGGTTCGTTTGCCGGACTGACGCTGACATGCCGTTGAGGAAGGTTTGTCTGTCTGTTCTCTGCCGTGAAGTAGCAATCAATGAACGATTGAGCTCGGTTTGATAGTTTACGATGCATTTCATGGAGGAGAAGAAGCTATAGAGGCTCACTGATGACTGCTCCAACCGAATTTCTGTATTATGAACCAGGCCCCGGGTGTTCTCGAAGAGGACCGGGTTGAGATAAGTCCATCGCTTTAGACCTCTTGCGAGACGTGTAGAAGCAGATTGTTGCTTGCCTCATCTTTGAAGTTCCCGGCGAAAAGGCTGGTCGCGTTGGTCAGAAAATACACAGCCTTGTTGAGGCTTTCTGCGATCAGGTGTAGCCCAGAGTCGGTAATTGTAGAAGCATCGAGATGTAGCGAGCCAGCGTCAACTCATGGTCTTTTGCACAGCGGAGCAGGCATAGTTTTCATGTTTCAGTTGCTATCGACTTTGAAGTCTGGGTGCCTTGGTAAGGATCGCCTTGACCTTAGCTGTTCATTCTGGCCTCGTTGTGCCTGAAGAACTGGCCGAAGTTGTTGTTGTGACAGTCGTCTTCCGTGGAAAAGTGCATGTATTACAGGCATGTGCCGGTGTGCCGGTAGGTCAATCGCTTCCAAAATAATAACAAGGAGAAAGGTTAAGGTAGACGAGCGACAAGGTCCTGGTTTTGTGGGTCACCTCACTTGTGGAGGGACATCCTCATTGCTTGGTTACGTGGTTCTTTGTGCAACAGCGACCCTTCTTGAAAAGTTCAGCTTGTCTCCATTAAGAACAACAATAGCTTAAAAGTCATTCGCGCAATTGTGTCGATGCGTTCAAGTCATAAGTGCATGGCGGTCAACATACGAATGACATCCGTTTCCAGCATGACGGGGTTTCTTCGGGCCGATGCCGGGCAAACTCAGGTCGATCTGCTTAGATCCTAGAACAGTGTCGTGGGTCCACCCAAAAAGGAGCCAATGGTCATCTGCGGCGAAGCTGCAGCTCGTAGAAAGTGGAAGGAATTGTGTCTGCTTGAGATGATATATGACATGTTCCACATATGCAGTCATGCCCAAAAACATGCGCCTCCACACAACAAAGACATTTCGAAATCAGGACTCGATAATTTCCCCTGGTTTGCTTCTCTTAATTTCCTACAATCACAGCATCGAAATCAACACTTGCGCAGAAGCTTTGACTCAAAGCAACTCCCCATAACTGCCGCCCGGAATCCGCTCTAATACAACATAGCATACAAACATGTCGATAATACCTCTCAACTTGATCAACGCAGCAAAGAGCGGCAACTATGATACCATCAAGGATGTACTCCAGGATGAAAGCATTGGCTCAACCTATTTGGACGGAGACGGTCGGACGGCGCTCACAATCAACCACCTTTCGGTTTATCATAATTATGTTAATTCAAAAAGATAAACTGGCACTGAAATAGCGCAAGCTATTAGAGAGAAAGACACCCACGTCCCAACCACTAATAAATCGGAATAACCATTGCTCCTTGAAAGCACAGATCTCAACACTTCAAGCAGGCCTGTCGGAAGAAGAATGTGGCGAGGTTTAACGCTGCAGCCCCATGAGGCGTATTCTCCTGGGCATTTAATCCAGTTATTGATCAAGGACCCACATTAGGTTCTCAACTTTTGAGCCATGTAAGAGTGGTCACGGGCCCGTCACTAACTGGAATACTTGGGTAGGGCGGTCAAGACCTTATGAAGCTTCTAGCTGTTATTGCACGCATCTTTGATGGCCACAATACCGCTACTGACGGTCTGGTAAAAGGTGCCGTCAGGGCCCAAGGCCCCACCTGTCCAATTATCGTTGAAGGCACCACCAGTGCCGGTGCGAACCTGGAAGACTGTCTCGCCCGTAAGCCAGTCAATGCCCGCCATATACCAAACGTACTCGCCTTTCGCCGCGCGTTCCCCATCCTGGATGTAGCTATAGACCAGCCCGTTCTTGGTTGAGAGCACAGATACGGCTTTGATCCGAAGGTCATTGGTCCAGCGTACCGAGCAGTTGCCGTACTTGTCAACATCCACACGCGTGACACCACCCTCCATATTGGACATGTCATTCACCTTGCCGTTGAGCTTCTGGCCATTCTGGCCGGTATAGAGAGGGGGGGCACCATATGCGTTCTGAATCATGATGCCGTACTTCTCTCTCTTGGAATCGTAGTGGCCGAGCACGCTGTTGAGCACAGAAACCTTCTCAGGCGTGAAGAGCGGCACTTGGCAAACGAGTTGCTTGTTGCCGTTGGCTTGGGGCTTCTGATGGTACACGTTGAGGTGCAGGCGTGGACTATCGTTGTCGACGATGGCCACGTACTTGTCGGCTAGCAGCGCAGGCGTTGTCCCAGAGCCACGTGACGTAACGGCCCCGGGATCAAGCTCTGTCTTGACTCCTGCGTCATAAGGAACCCTCCAGCGCGTCTCGATGCCTCCCTCTTCGCCGCCTTCGACGGTCAACGAATACATATAGCCAGGCGCATTCGGCTTGTTGTTCTTGCCGGTAGGGCTCGTGTTCATGTACACATTGGTGCCCGCAACAGCAAGGCCATTCTCAACCATTTCGTTGTCGAGGCGTGCCTTGTGCACCTTGCCGCTAGGCGTAATGTAACCGTACGTGGTAGTGTTGGCTACGCTGCTGCCGTCGCCTGTCAGGACTCCGCCCGTTGTAAACCAGATGTTACCTTCGGTGTCAAACATCGAGTTGAGTAGCCTGTCGCCCTGCTGTAGCTCAGGGACCATATCGATCTTGCGCGTCGTTTTGAAGTAAGGGCGGCCACGACAGCTACCCCGGTGCACGACCCAGATGTGGCCCTCAACCGAGTTAATGAGGATATCGTTGGTCTCGACGATGTATTCCATGTACGTAAAGCCCAGCGTTTGGTTCGCCTCTTCCGGATACCATGCCGCCAGTACATCCATAGATTTCGGGTCGAGCGCCACCAGGCCGTACGGAGAGGGTTTGTCTTCACTGGTCCTATTGACGTAGCCCGCTGTTAACTGGTTCTCCCTGCCCCAAAGAAAAATGAACGCCGCTTGCGCCTTGGCACTGACTTGCGCGTTGACGCCTAGCGGGCCAGGAAAATCTTGGCTGCCGGTATTCCCGCCGTCGGCGTGCAAAAGCGATGCTTCTGGGTGCGAGACAAATAACGGCGACAGAGGCTTGCTTTGCGCGGCATTGCCGATGAACACGATGCTCTGTAAGTTCTGAGAGTTCTCAAGAGCTGGCACTTTGCTGTACGTAACAGGCGCTAACACGTGCTAGAAACGAGAAGTTAACATGGTTGGTTTAAGTCAAACCCCCCACTTCCCGGCACCCCCCTGTTTCTGGCACCCACAAAAACGCGAAAATCCACCACAACGCAATGCCCACCCCCAACCTCCTTTTATCACAACATTTTCAATTCGAGTCCAAATGGGCTCATTTTTTGCACATACCTTCTTCTATATCTAATGCCTCAATATACCGAAGATCAGCTTCGTCAGGCTCTCGAGGACATCTCAAACGGCAAGAGTCAAAAGAGAGCCTCATTGGAGTATGGGATACCACGATCAACCCTCCAACTACGTCTCCAAGGTGGTCAGACTAGGAAAGTGGCTTTTGCTGACTGGCAGAGGCTGTCTCCTGACCAGGAGAGTAAGCTGGCACAATGGGTTCGCATTCAGGCTTCGCTGGGCCTCGCACCAACGCACCAACAGGTGAAGGAATTCGCAGAGCGAGTTCTGGCTGCTGCTGGGGATACCAAACCATTAGGAAAAGGCTGGATCTATGCCTTCGTGAGAAGGAACCCTATCATTAAGGTTCAGAGAAGTCGTTCCATCGATTCTAGACGCGTTAATGGGGCATCTACTGAGGTCATTAGGAACTGGTTTAAGTTCCTTGCTATCCCTGAGATCAAGGACATCAAACCAGCCAACAGATATAATATGGATGAGACTGGCATCCTCGAGGGTCAGGGAGCTAATGGGTTAGTGCTGGGCATGGCTGAGACGACGTCTGTTCGCAAGAAACAACCTGGGTCGAGGGCATGGGTCTCTATCATTGAGTGTATCTCAGCCTTGGGTACACTTCGTCCTCTTATCATTTTCAAGGGAAGACGGTCCAACAACAGTGGTTTCCATTACATCTGGTTCCATACGATGGGTGGGAGTTTACAGCAACAGATAATGGCTGGACTACAGACTTAACTGCCATTGAATGGTTAGAGAAGGTGTTTATCCCACAGACTATGCCCGAGGCTGAGGGCGAGGCTCGACTGTTGATTGTGGATGGGCATGGGAGTCATACGACGACAGACTTCATGTGGAATTGCTATATTAACAATATCCATTTACTGTTCTTACCACCACACTCCTCTCATGTCCTCCAGCCACTTGACCAGTCTGTCTTCAGCCCTGTTAAGTCAGCCTATCGGAAGGAGCTCGGTTACTTGTCTCAATGGAACGACTCTACCATTATAGGTAAAAGGAACTTCCTGGACTGTTACCAGAAGGCTCGACTTGCTGGTCTATCAGTCTCGAACATCAGAAGTGGTTGGAAGTGGACTGGTCTACACCCTGTAGCGATGGTTAAGCCCCTGATGAACCCTATGGTATTACCTGAGCCTTCTAAGCCCACCACACCCAAACCAACCAGTCGGGGCAAAAAGCGATGCCATAATGGTCAACAAACTACCCCTGTTGAGCCATGGATTCTGCTTCCTCTGCAGTGGTCTGGTCGACACCCAGGAAGCTGGCAGAGCTCAGCGGTCAACTGCACTTATACACCCAACTCGACAATGATACCAGCACTCAACGGCTGCTGTTCAGGAAGGTGAAAAAAGGCTTCACAGAGCAGGCCTGGCAACTGGCAGCTGCCCAGCAGCAGCTGGCTCACCTGAGGGCCTGTTACCAACGCTGCAGTTAGGAAGAGGAAGACTGTTCAGATCGATCCCAACACGAAGTTTGCGAACATCAGGGATATCCATCGGGCTCAAATCGAAGCGGGTGAAAAGGAGGTTATTACGGCTGAATCCAGCGACTCTGAATGCCCTAGTGAGGCTGGCAGTTGTATTGTAGTGGGTGTGGTTGAGGATCAATAGTTAATAGTAATGAGGAGGTTGGGTTGTGATCCCATCGTTTTTGTGGGTGCCAGAAACAGGGGGGTGCCAGGAAGTGGGGGGTTTGACTTACCGGGACACAGATTGATGTTAGGAGGCCAGCGGTACCTTGCACGAGTCCGTAGGCTTCGCTTGCACGCCCCCTAGCGCAAGCAGAGCGGAACATAATGAAAGACGAGGAGGTAGCATGATGATGTGGTCCTCTCGACTATGAGATCTGGAAAGAAGAACACAAGTGCAATAGGCCTGATTTTAGTTTGGCTTGGTTTGTGTTGAAGCCGAGAGAAATTGGATGATAGTTAGCAAAGGCGACGGCAGCCTCGCCAGCTTTTGTAAACGATTCCTTTGGGCTGTGCAATCGTCATCCGAGTAGATGCTTCTATCTTGTTTTATTTGTGACGTCTCCATCCGTCTTGTTTCCTCGCTACTTGGGAACACGTCACTTGGACCAGCTGTGCCCTAAAATGCCCTTGAATAGCCACCTGAGGAAGGACGTCTATGAAACTCGTATCAATTCCAGCCCCAAATCCAGATGCGAGGAGGATCCGAAGAGTCGAGATTTGCGTTGCCTCCAGGAAGACCTGGTAATGTTGAGCGCCACAGCAGTACCAGTAAGCACGAACGTCGGATCAGGATATCAAGGGCCACGAAAAGGCTACGTAGACCTGTGGATTTCATAGAAGCTCGAGTGAGTTTACGCATGTAAGATCAATAATTCATATTCGCCATTGCAGATCCCCATCTTAGGACTGAATTATCCTAGCCCCTGGATTGGTCAAACGCCACTCTGCATTGCTCCCGGGACTCAGGCGCCGCTTCGGAAGTTATTGTGGTTGACTTCGCCGTATCATCAAAGAGCACATGTAGTGCTACCTCGCAAAGCATACCGATTGGCTCGAAGTTTGCCAGGCACTAGTCACTAATGCTTATGTCTAAGCTTAACAACCCATTTTCACCTGCTGATCAATGGGATTCCTTGAATTTATGCCCTAAATCTCCTCCTTAGGCTGGCTGTGCAAGCTTCACTCTCAGGCCGGTGACGTAAGAAATGCCCTCACAAAGTCTTATGCTGTCATCAGTAGTGTCTTGGCACTTGTGTGATTGCACTTGGAAATTTCTCAGCTTGCTACGTCCTCCCTTGATGTGTAAAGTCATTCTATGTATGAACAGACCCCCGAATCACCAACAGCTAGATATTTGAGAAATTGGACTTGGCACGAAAGCTCAACCAACAGAAAGTCACTTGACACACGGTTCTGCTTTCCATTGCAAGAGGCCCTAGTCTAGTAAAAAGGTTGAGTTGACGCAGAGGCGGAATGAAATGAGTTCTGGCTCAACATCGTGCTGTGAAAGAAGATCTACGTCTGGCTCCGCAGGTCTTATAACCAAGAAGGCGAGAATCACCTTGAAACTTCAATTCTATTTTTGACACGACCCACTCATAGAAAAAGGGCATTTAAGAAACGTTAACAGTAGTAAGATGATTCTGTGAGAACAACAGGTGAGGAAAAATTGACCATGGTGGGTGCGAAACCGCCCGGCTGAACCACAAAAGTCTCGGAAGACACAGCAGCGAAACAATTTTGAGACTCCAGCAGAGTGAACGAAATCAGTCAACTTGAGTCTTAAACCCAATTCTACCCATAGAGTCGCCCAAACTTCCTGCTCCTCTCATCATTTAAACCAAGTCTTAGGATGCTGCAGAACACGCTTGCTATCTCTGGTGTCGTTGAGCCAATTCTTGAAATGCTGCAAAACGTGGTCGCCATCTCTGGATAGCCGTTCGGCCAAGCGCTCGCTTTCCACTTGTCTTGCAAATTTCAGATCGTTGCGCGTTTTGCGATGCGTAGCCGTGTAAATAGTCTTATAAGCGCCTTGCCCAGGATAAAAGATAAGGCCGAGTAAACCTAGTAGAAACACGTTAGCAGATCAAGACACAGTTCAAGGCAATAGAGCCAAAGCTGACCGGAAGGGACTTTTGTCGACATGTTCAGACATCCGACGCCGAAACCTTTAACAAGTCCAACTGCCCCCCCGGACTGAGCACCTCTCACAGGAGACTTGACGAGGCCCCCAAAACCTTCGAGTAGTCCATGGCACAGGTTCTTGCCAGCTACGATACCGCCTGACGTGAAGTTATCAATTCGACCTGGCTCGTATACCTTTCCACCGTACAGGCGCGGAGCATTACGGAAACCCTCCGTCACAGCCAACGGCGCATCCAGCATGCCTTTGGTGAAATGTTTGAGGACTCCACCAGCTCCAGCGGCAGATCCCTGTACCGCTGTTTTAAAGGTAGAAGATGTTTTTTTGACAACTAGTACACCGTCCGCTGGAATGGCCAAGGATACTGATCGGCTGGAGGCTGAGGACGCCTGACGTGACAATCGAGAGTCACTACAGCTTGGTGTTGTCGCTTCGCCACTAAGCGCCTCCTTGGGCCAGTTGTATGCCTGAATTGGCTTTGCGACAACATCTATTGCCGACCCGACCACGCCCGACCCGACGGTGACCAAGGATGATGCAGCTGCTGTGATAGGTTCCAATCTTCTCAAATCAATGACTGTTCCCTTTGTGTCATACCTTTCACTTTTGTAAGTAACTAGGACACGTCTCGTGGTTGCGACTCTACACATACCTGTTGAGGTCTTTCCAAGCTACCAGGCCCTCCTTAATTAGAATACCCGCTGCATCTTTCGATAGCTTCAGATGATGGCCTCTTTTACTGAACATCCATGTTGCGGGCCGGTCGGACACAATGTCGCAGCGCATAGTAAGCGGCAGGTTGGCGTGGAAACTTGCTACTGCGCGCTCGACACCTGATTCGCTTCTCATCCGTTCTGCGAGACCTTTTGCTGCAGATGATGCTTCCTCCGTCAGACAAAACTGAAGAGCCTTGGTCAGCTTCTCTGTATTAAGCTCTTTGTATGGAATTGGGGGTGGTCCTGCTCCGGCTGCTGCCACCATATCTCCCCAGAATGGTTGGCTCTATAGTTAGCTTTCCATGTGACGAAAGAGCTGAGTGTATGGTGTTCTCACTCGCCAAAGAAAGGGATAATCGTTGTCGGTCTACCATTGAGAAGCCCGCAGGCTGTGGTGCCTGCGCCACCGTGGTGAAAAACAGCAGAAACGCGCTGGAAAAGCCATTCATGCGGGCAGTCGCCCAAAAGAAAGATTCCGGGATGATCACCGCATTCGAAGCCTAGATTACTCCACCCCTTAGATATGATAGCCCGCACACCGGCGGCCTTGACTGACTCCATGATGATCCTGGTCAGCTTGGCAGAGTCCTCAATCACGATGCTGCCAAAGCCGATATAGACTGGTAAGTCACCATTTTGCAGGAACGCATCCAGATCTGGCTCGGGTTCGTACTGCGGTGTCTCGCGGAAAAAGAAGCCACAGACATCTGGGTCATATAATTAGTCTTTGTGCTGGTCCCTTGTATTGCTTCTTTCGCGAAGCACTTGCCTATATGCGGGCCCCAGTCTTTAGGCTTTGATACCAGTGATGGCGACCAACAGTAGGTGAAGGGGACCTTCAGTGTTTCTGCTAGCAGGGGGCCTTCTGAAAAGTGAACTTCCTCGAGGCCCATGCTACCTCGCCATTTGTTGATCACATCTCCCAAACTGCAGTCGTACAGGTTAGCATATCCTCGACCAACGTCAAGGAACAAGATATCAGCTATGCGTACCCTTGCCACGTCATCCACTCGACCGCCAAGTACGACAGGTAATTCGCCGTCCCTCGTGTTGCGACTTTCGATCGCCTGTTATCGATAATGTTAGCCAGCGGGTGGCTGAACTCTACCGTGCTCGTCCACGGCATAGTAAACATCAGATGAACTGGGATACCAAGCGCCTGCGCACAGTGTATATGGGCGAAGCTCGGCGGATTAGCGATGATGGCCTCAGCTACAAAAGGCTTCAGGGTGACTGGATCTGGACTGACACACGATGCCCAGCAGCCGCGCAGCATTTCCTTCATCATCTTCTGCTTAGCTTGAATATCGCCGGCGCGAAGGCTTGCCATGCTTGGAATAAGGCCAGGGTTCTTAACCATATAAGCCATCAGCTCGGTCGGATCTCCGCCAATACTGAAGAATTCGAGTCCAGCTTTGAGAACAAAATCTCTAAACATGCTATGTGTGGCGAGTCGCACCCTGTGACCGTGTTTCAACAGCTCGCAACCTAGAGCAATAAATGGCTGCACATCACCCCGGCTTCCCACCACTTGCATAACAATATTCAGACGTATAGGCTTTTGTTCTTCTTTGATATGCACAGGAATCGGCGCGTCTTGCTCTGGTCCTTGCTCGGTCCATACTGGTATCGGCGCTTCCAATTCTTTGTTGAGCAAGCTTCTGTGATGTGAAATCGAGGATAGGGTACGGTAGAGTCTAGAAGTAAAGTCAACTATAACCCGACCATCGTCTAGTAATCAACACATCATTAGTCTCCGCGAATCAACGGACGGTGCGCAATGTTTGCATATTCACCTCGAAGACGGACTGAGTCGCCGGTCAGTTCGTAGATGCTCGAACATCTCGGCGGCTCATCGTCTGCTTGTGGGGTATCCATAGGCGACTCTGAGGTAAAGGAATGACTACTGTGGTGCAAGGCTTCGGGCGTGTAATTTCTTGAACGTTTCCAATCGCCTGCTGACGATGCTCTGGCCGGCGTCTTAAACCACAAGACAGGAAAAGCGTGAAAATGGGTGACAGCCATGCCGCTTGATAAATGATGGACGGTACCCTGACAGGCATTGAAATCGGGTGACAAAAGAGCCTTGAGCTGAAGCCACGTTGTCATCAATCATTGCACAAGGTAATGATGAACTTTGCCTGCCGCGCCCTTGACGCAGTTTAAGCCATTGCCAACGATGTCGGATGCAGACCCTTAGCCCCAGATCAGGGTTCGCGTCACCGCTCGTACTGTCTCGCGAGCGACGGCGATTGGCTTTCGAAGAATCAGATACCCTGTCAGTTTGATCAAGACCCGCAGGACTAGTCCTGATCAGTGATACTGACTGCCAGATAGAGCCGTACGTCACTTCGGAAACATAGAGTTAAGTTTTATTGGGCAGTTTGAAAATTGAAAGAAAGTAACGTTCATGGTTGTTATTAGTTTAAAATCACACAGTCCTTTACACAATAGAAGCGCCGTTATCCACTAAGTGAAATGGAACATTGTGAACTTAATGGTGCACGCGCTTGGCCAAAGTGAGAATCCACGGCAGGATGATCAGCCACGTCATACTGAAAGCGATGGCTCGACACTGGTTCACTTGTGACTGTGCACATGTTGCTAGCGGAATAACATCTACAAAACATCGCCATTACCTGGTATCGAACGGAATCTGACATATAAAAACGTGATACCGGAATGTCTCCAGACTTTCTCAATAGACGGAAGCGCATTGGTTTCCAGCCTTGAAAATAGACACGTTACATGTAACAAAGAGAATCTTTGAAGCCAGTCCAACATCATTGTATAACCACCAGTCTCGACTTTTGACCGATACAGGCAGTAATTTTGTTCTGTTGATTGAAGGCATGACGCCTAAAGGGCCTGGGGAGCATACAAAAACCTCACTCTAGAAATGGAATAAAGTACCATGTCTTCATCTAACCATCTGAAAGAGATGTATCGCGGTCAAAACACCGAAAAGAACTGAAAATATGCCCGCTGCCGCTGATGACACGTACTTGTAGCGCTGAATGAGCCAATCCTCATTCTTCCATCCGCTAGTGTCCAATTCCGATATCGTGTCAATGTCGGGCAATAAAAACAAAGGAAGCAAGACTAGGTGACTCTGGACCGTTTGACACAGTCTTCGTTGACTTTTTTATTAATTAAATAATGCTTAGCTACAGAAGACTATTGCCAAAAGATTGAAGCGAATCAGCACAGAAACGATCAAGAGACGACAAGATAAGCGACAATCACAATGCAAGATCGCAACAGCTTATGCTCTTATCTAGATTCTGAACGTGGTGAGTAATCAACATTATATGTGTTTCAATCACCGTACACACGTCAAGAGTTCCAAAGACAAGACTCCGAAAATCCTGCGCCTCTGCCGTCATTCTTTATGTAGACTGATTTAATAGCTTTGGGACTTGGCTTCAGCTGTTCTAGAGCCTGCTCACATTCTTTGATGCGTACCTGGCCAGTTAAGCTCTGTGGCGTATGTAAGGGGGCTTTAATTCTCGCATCACGAGGCGATTGGTTGATGGTACTCTGACCCTCGCATCTAGTGGACTCCGCCACGTATAGTGTCGCATTAGCGTGTTCTTTTTTGCTTTTCTTTTTTTCATGCTCGTACATTCTGAATCGGTCACGTCAGTGTTTAACAAACTATGGAACGGAAGAGATTACAAGAGGACCTACGCAAGCTGCCTATTGTAGAGTAGCAAAATCAGCCACTTTAAAGTGCCAGAGATATCTCCAATCACTAGAATTTTCTCGCCCGGACAAATCAAAAAACTGTTTGCAATAAATTGGAAGCTTCCATACCCCCCTCCCCCTTCTCTCCCTCTTTTCTTAAGTAAAAGCTCTTCGGGTTGAGAGAAGTACCAATGTCTCAACAGAACAGCAACATGCATACCTTTGACTTCGGCAAGATCGACTGGAATACATACGAGTCACATCGCCCGCCATACCCTGATGCCTTATATGACATAATCTTTCGGCATCACCAAGATCATGGAGGGAACTGGGACTTGGCGTTAGATGTGGGATCTGGCGGAGGCACCGTGACTAAAGTCCTGCTTCACCACTTCAACCATGTCGTTTGTAGCGACGCTGCGGCTGGCTACGTAGCCCAAACCGAGCAGCGATTCTCTCGGGAGAGAAGCGCAGGACTGGCAAGTTTTCTGCAGCGCAAGTTCCATGAGTTCAACCCGGAAACCGATTTTCCCAGTGGCCGTTCTGTAGACACGATTACAGCCGGGACATGTATACACTTTGGCGATCCATCACAGCTCACGACACAGCTCGCAAGCTCGGTCCGATCTGGGGGGACTTTCGCTGCTTTCAGTTACGGTTCACTGCCAATTCTCCCACCAAACGACCCGGCAAAGCATCTTGTCGCTTCAATGAAAGACAAGACTCTACGTTGGTTCCATGAACATGTTAAAAAACTTGATCAGATCGACGCTACAGGTACAGGTCAGGCACGCTACAATAACGTGGACTTTGACCCATTGTTGTGGACGGATGTGAGACGGATCACCTCTCTTCCGCACGAGTTCATGTGGCTTGAATGGATCAACGCCTCGGAATCACGTGTTCGTGCCGACGTCGAGCGACAGGAGATTGTCCAGGATGACTTTATCACAAGGGCAGTGGACTACGAGTTCTTCCCAGCATACTTTCAAAATCTTGCTCCTGGATATGACATATCTGGTCTGATCGGAGACGACTTGAAGGAGATCAAAAAGGCGTTGGGGGATCGCAAAGTCTTGGCTAGGTGGCCTGTGATTGCGGTGATCGCGACTAGACGATGAAGATATTCAACCATGTTTGAGCCGTCGAGAGAGGCGTTGGCATTTTGAATGTTACCTTAGTAATGACCTAGCTTTGCATCTAGGCGTCAAAGATACTGGCTAGGTACGTATTACATATAGCTGTCTCGGCGTATTTTTAGCTTGAAATTCCTATACAGGCGCGTGTTGGTGAGAATTTTGACCCCTAGCAATGCATTAGATCACAAATCACGTCGTCCATATATTGTGTTGGAAACTATGACACGGGAGTCCACGATCCTCAATTCAAAAAAATATGGATAAGCGTCTGGTGTATACGTAGCTAAGGAGGGCAAAATACTTGCGAAATCCAGCATCAAGGAGATAGGCCGTAGGTTGTTCTGCAAGGCAATGGCCCACCAGAGTTAAGGCTGTGAAGCTCTCTCCGACGTCACTCAACCATTTCTTGGGAGCCAGTCGGCATGCCTTGCGAAGAAGGGTGGGGCCACATCAACCTCAACTCTGTGTGTGGGGTTAGATGACCCGGACTTATGGATCGGCAATATGTATTGCAAGCTTCGAATTGTTGTAAGAGCAAGCCTTTTTGAGCGGCAGTTGCAAGCCGGATCCTGATCTCGGATTCATCATGACTTGTAAGCTAACTGCATGGAGCTTTGCTGCGCCAGTTCCTGAGACATGGATAGCTTGTGGCTGATCGTCATCGTCGGTGAGCGATCCCAATAAGCATCAAAGACATGGAATGTTTTCTAATGCCTGATCTAAGATAGGGGAAAGGCGATAGTAGATGATCGCCGGATAAGAGGGTGTTTGCGTGTACCGATCGCATATAAAGGGCCCTGCTTCCGTCGAAAATCATTCGCAAAAGGCTTTCAGAACAACGCAACATTCAAATTAAAATACGCCGTCTATAATCGTCAATATGATTATCCCCCAGCATCTCAAGTTCTATAATAGGGCAGGTCTCACATTATACGCCGCGCTCGCTTTGGGTTGTGTCACCGCAAAAGAGGTGGACAATGCCAAAACTGGCTTTCCTCCGGTATGCATTCCGTGCCTTCATGAGTCCTTTCGAGGATTTCATTCAACTTGTACTAATCTATTCTAGTGCGATGCATTGATTCAGGCGAATCTTTCCCGCCTTGTGCACCTCGCAGACTCGCCACTCTACCCGAACTTGGTGAATGGCTCCTGGGCGCCCGACACTCGCAAGAGTCCATTCTGCTTCGTCCTCCCAACCACCACCGAGGAGGTTTCCCAAACTATTACCGCACTTCGTAATGCTGGTAGTGGAGCTGGAGACTGGCATATCGCCGTCCGCAGCGGCGGACATGCGACTGACCATTCGAACAACATCGATACTGGAGTTACAATCGATCTGACCCAGATTAATGCCACCACCTACAATAAGGAGACGAACATCGCAAGTGTTGGCACAGGGGCCCGATGGGGTGCCGTTTACGCGGATCTCCTTGAGCACGACGTCAGTGTAATGGGTGGAAGAGAAGGTGTGGTGGGTGTAGGAGGGCTAGTGCTCGGTGGCGGCGTCTCGTGGTACACTCCCAAGCGGGCGTTTGCTTGTGACAGTGTGGTCAACTATGAGGTGGTGCTTGCTAATGGCTCCATTATTCATGCAAGCCCTCACTCGCATGGAGATCTTTGGAAGGCATTGAAAGGAGGTGGTGCAAACTTTGGCATTGTGACCAGATTCGACATGGAGGCTTTTCCAGCCCAGAACATCACCAAGGTAACGACAGTGATTAGTATGGAGCATCTTGACGAAGTGTTGGACGCGGTTGTGGACTTTACAAGCCTTGATCAGTCTTTTGAGGATAACTACTTGCTTACGGTGTTCAACTACGATCAAGCTAGGGATTCCACGGCCATTACGCTGACAGAAGTCAACACGGCAAACAAGTTGAACTCCTCGGCGTTTGACAGCGTGAGAAACATCTCAACCCTTCGTCAAATTCCCGCAAAGTCAATGTCTCTCGCTGATTCCGCCGATGGGTCGTCGCTGAGCGATGAAATGCGGTAAGTCGTGCCAACACAGCTCAATTTTCGATCCCAAGAAGGACATAACTGAGTTTGCCCCGTAGAACTATTGGCGCTGGACCTATGACTGTCGCCAATGACCCCCGAATCTTGCGCTTCATCGTCGATCAGTACAATGGATTCGTCAAGGACATCAAGGAGAAGGTGAACCCGGCGAACTTCAGCACCATTTTCGACCTTCAGCCGCTGCCATCTCGCGTCGCTGACTACAGTGTTTCGAAGGGCGGTAACATGTTGGGACTCGAGCGGAATAATCGCGACAGAGTTATTGCGGCCGTCGGGGCGATTCTCTTTGGGGGCCAGTATTCCGATCAAGATGTCGCCCTGATCTATCAACTCACTGTGACAATGAATGAGAAGATCATCGCTCACGCAAAGTCGCTTGGTCTCTCGGAGGACTGGGTCTATTTAGCCTACAGTGATGCGCAGCAGGATCCATTGGGCTCTTACGGCCAGGCCAACGTGGATCATATTAGACAGGTGGCGCAAAAGTACGATCCCGAAGGCTTTTTTCAGAAGAGGGTTCCTGGCGGCTTCAAGATTGATAGAGTTGACACGGGCAAGAAGTGTTGCGATGGAACGGCCCAAGCCTAGGTTCCACAGGCGCTGTAAGCGGCTCATGACGAAGACAGCTCCGGTATCGATATGAGTCCTGGGTCCTATATGTATGTATATTAGTGTAGAGATCGTATGCCTCCGTCTCCTGGTCTATTCGGGCACGCTGAAGACTATTTGGCTCTGGTCTTCAAACTAAAATATAGATAGAAATACTGTTGTTCTTCATTATCAGGTCTCGGTAGTCGTTGCTATGACGCGTCCCTTTCCGGGCCATAAGAGGCATTGTTGTGCCCTAGGAATGGATAGGACCAGACAGGTTGCTGTGTGAGGGTACGATCGTTTAGTAAACTAATTCGGAAAAATCGTGTTGTCTTGATGGCCTATGTGCGAAAGGTTTTTTATATACTCGGTCCCTATAAGTCTAGGCTACTTGTTTGTCTGATAGAATTAGTTGGGCTGCCCATGCTGTGCACATAAACATTCGTAGCTCATGTCCAGCAAGCACATTCAAGGGTGGCGTAATAGCTGAGGCTATAAATTCTGTGTGCTTGGAGGTCGTTCAACAGTGCCCCTGGTCAAATAAATTGTGGCCAAGTCAAATTGTGAACGTTCATAGTTTGGAGCGCATCGGTATGGCCGCCTCAATGGACTTATCACCCGATAAGTAGTCTCTTCTTACGGTGGGTGGCAATAAGTTTGAATCCATCGAGGGTCGCGAGGTCGGTATAGCCTTATCAGGCCCATGTAATTGACGCCGCTTTAAATAGTTGTAGTATATGTAAGAACCAATCCTCCTAATGTAGCGCTGTTCAGCTTCATTATCGACACCCGTGGGGAGGTACTTAAATCTGTGTCGACGTATGAATCCACATTGACGTAGGGATGACCAGTCTGGTGAGCAATCCCCGTGTGTATATCGCGCTAACAAATCAGCTCAGACTCGGAACTTCCACGTGTGCATTCTACTACAATTGACCAATCGCTGTGTGATGGGAAGATAGGTTTGGCATTCTGTCACAACCCTTGCCAATCTTAAGTGGCGTAGCACAGGGGCCTTCTGGATATGGCTATAATTACCGGTGGTGAACAACGATGAAGGGAATATGCGCTCTAACAACATATTAACTATAACGACTCGTGTCATTTCAATCAAGTTTTGAGGCTTCCGTTCTTTTCAAGGATCGTGAGCTCTCATATGAGACCTGGAGGTGACGATTATGAAGCAGAAGCAGGCACACTATCAAGTTCAGGGCCTCCTTAGCCAGCGATGGTGGGTTCTAAGAACGCTATCCTTCTAGCCGTTAAAGCTATTCGGTATTCCATTTATTGCTGCTCAATACAACCGATCATCTTCTAACGTAATATAATTCATTTCTGAATATCGATTGTATTTTGTGTATTTCAACCTTCAACCTATGACTATCTTACAGGCATCCTCCCTCCTCGGTATCCTAAATTTCGATGCTCATACAAGCTGATGAACGACAGAGGGCTCGCTCATGCAATATTTCTAGTACATACCCTCATAAAGAGCAGCAATTGCATTCGCTATCCTGTTCGGTATCACTACCCTTGCCCATCTTTTATAGCTCGTTAGGTGGAAAACACGGTATTCTGTCCTGCGTTCCTAGGGAGCTTTTGTATGTCTCATCGCCTGTGTGAGTCTAATAAACAGATTTACTGACCAGAAGCCCATCAGTTGAAATGAACTGCTACATCCTACGTGTCATCGATTTTGAGCATATACAGATGATACGCAAATTAATATCCACATTTTCAACAAAGCGCTGTAGTTGAAGATTGTTCACGCGTAGTTACATTCACACAAACGGCGATATCCCAACGCGCCACACTCCCCAGTCTACCGTGGAGGTATCCATCCAATCTGCTGTATAGGCCACCTGATCCAGAACCGGTGGACCTCATCCAAAGCCGCATATATACGACCAAGCAAGTGCGTTCCCCAACCCTGCATCCACCACTTATAGTCCAGTTGGTGTAATAGAACACAGGCAAAAGCGAGTATAGAAAGTGCGTCCTGATTCCTAGCTTGCAGCAATGCCACGAAGTCATCGGTAACTCTGTACATCCAGGTGAACATGCTGCGGACACGGGCCTCATCGCCAAGTTCCTCGACATGGAAGAAGTAAAGGGCTCGTCTGAGGTCTTCAAAGGTGTTGACCAACAGCTGCTGGTTTTGTGCGCTTTCCGAGCCAATTGATGCTAGATGACGTTGGAAGTCGAGGATAGGCTCGGAATCGAGTTGGACTTGAAACCAAGTGTCATTAACCCGTGAGTGAGTGAAGAAAAACGCAAGAGATGATCTGTAGATAGCGCCGTTACCTGATGCCAGGATGGTCCGTACACCACGGAAGAGGCTGAACCAGGCGGGGATAACATTGTCTCCATCAAAAGAGGGATAGCCCCCATCTCGAAGACTAGCAAAGGAAATAAATAGCGTGAATATGCTGAAGAAATACATAGGGATCCTCTCTTCTTCCGTAATATTCATTAAAAGAGGGGCCGCAACAGTAGTAGCCTTGCCGTGGTGAACCTTGGCACAAGCATGATAGTGTCCGCGAGACTCTGGTCGAAAATGCGCTAAGTGGGATGCGGATAGTGCCAAAAGGGCGTGGAGCACGTATGGGTGCGAGAAACCCAACCTTGGTACGCTCTCGAGAAAGTAATTACGCATAGCTGGATCCGAAGAGAGTGTGAAATACGTTGACGTGTTGTAGTGGTGAAGAAGCTCCAAATCCAAGATATTTATGGGTAAGGTTTCTGTAGAAGAGTCGAGAATGGACGCTGCTGTAGAAGAGGATGTCACAGTCGGAGGAGACGAGATAGACCTCTCATCCGAGCCTCTGTTTGAGCTTGCGCTCTGCTGGGCGGTTCTGGTCGCCAAGTCGCATACATCTCCACGCCTTGCGCAATGCAGGCAAGTCGGCAGCTCCTCGCCACACTGAGGAATGAGTAAGGATATCAGTGATTAAGTCTGATGAATGCACGATAATAGCTCGGGTGCGCATGGATTTTGTACCTTGACCTTCCTTGTCTTGCAGTTTTGATATCCAGTTCGGGATTTCGTGGGCATTCGTCGAGGTCGCTCTGCAGCACGCATGTTTTGCCGACCCTTCAATTCCAGTTCGCAATCAATAGGCGAAGCGTCTTAGCGGGCCCAGTGATTCAGCATGTGCCCGTGAAACGAGTGGTGTCAACGGGAAGTGGTGAGGACCTGGCGGTACAAAAAACGGTGAGTGTCCGAGCCCGTCCTCCACGTCTGGAATGATGTTCGTTACGTAAGAATCGTTGGAGCGCTGATCATCATTCCAGCCGGCGATTCTTTACGCTTATGTCCACTTCAATCAGACTAGAGCGAGATATGACCAATCGGTATCATTTGCGAGGCCAGCATGGATCCAAGGATTCTAGTCCAAGTTTAGTTAGGCTCAGGCACCAGCCCGAAGTATGGATCTCAAGCGACCACTCGCTCGTGGCAATTAGGCGTTTTCATCTATTTAGAAAATAAGGCTATGAACCGTCGATCCCCCGGTCTTACAAGTCGCCGCGATTGGTTTTGTAGATGAGAGTCTCTCGGAATCGCGCCACATGTCTCACGAAACAACGAGCTAAACATAAACGTAAAAGTGTCTTACTCGGGGCAATTGCAATTGGAGGCTGACGGAATTCAGGAATCGGAATAACTCGATAGCGGCGAGCCCGACCGTGACAAATTAGGTTGTGAGAATGGTGGTTGCTAGTATTGGCACTGATTAGGGGCGAGTTCCAGACATAGTACAGAATCTTATACAGCACAACACGTTAGCTAATAAACATTCCAAATTCTTATGCTATACTATTACGGAATTAATAATAGTAAAAATAGTTTTTAATAAAATTAGAAAGTTATAAGAGGGACTTATTCTAAAAAATACTATAATAACTAAAATAGCGCTAATATTTAAAATATAATATAAATTAATATTAAGAAAATATTAAGAAATATAATAATATTAAGTTTAAAATATTAATAATAAAATAAAATTAACGTATATAATAAGTAAATAAACTAGATAAATAAGTAGGCTACCTAACTACTATAATACTATTTACATTATTATAATACGTATTTTTTTTAAAAATAATAATAATATATAATAAAAATACTTAATTAAACTTAGTAATTTAGGTTATTTTAAAAACTAAAACTTTAATATTCGGGTTATAATAAAGATTTATAATATTAGCTACGTTATTTAGTTATAAATTAAAAAAATATTATTATAATATAATAATATACTTAATTTATAAAATTTAATATTACTAAAGAGAAGAAGCTAATTAAGTATATTCTTAACCTAAATATTAAAAAAAAATTCTGTTTTTATTATATTAAAAAATAATAAGTTAATTATTTACTAATTATAATACGCTCTATATTAAAAATAATAAGCTTCGAACTTCGTAAAATAATAATTATAATTATAAAAGTATCGTTTTTATAAATATAATTATAAAAAGCTTAATATAAAAATCTAAATATAATAAATATATAGTTCTCGCTTATAATAAATATAATTATAAAATATAATATTATAAACTTAAATATTTATAACTTTAATAAAACTAATTTTATAATAAATTAAACTTTAATTAGTATAGTTATAATTAATATTAAAAGTATTTAAATACGAAATTAATATAATTTAATTTTATAAATAAGTTATAATTATTTAAGTTATTAGCTCTTTAAGTTATAATATTTTATTATATATTATTGTTATAAGTTAATATTACTTTTTATTTAATATATAAAATCTAATTTCTTACGTAACTAAATTATTATAATATTAAAAATAAATAAATAATAAATAAAAAGCCTAAATTAAGCTTAATATTTTAAATAATATATAAAACTATATATAAAAGTTAATATTACCTCTTTATTATTAATAAATATAAAAATTATTATTTTACGAATTTTAAGCTTTTTATAAAAAAATAATATTATAACTTTATATATACTAGCTTATTTATTTTATTTATTTTAACCTTAAATATTAAATATTTTAAGTTTTAAAAATAATATATAGTCAAGAAATTAAAAATAAAATATATTAAAATAATACGTATATTATTAAAAAGACTTCTTTTAATATTTTATAAAGCTTTTATATAAGTAATTATAAAAAAATATTTAAAAGGATTTAAAAAATAAGGTTTATATTTTTAAATATAAAAGTATATTTTAAAAGCTTAATATAAAATTATATATTTTAATATTTCTAAGATCTTTTTAATAATACCCCTAATATAGACTTTTAAATATTAAATAACTTAACTAAGGTATTTTTATAATTATAACTTATTAAAAATAAAATTACTTATTATTAAAATAGTTCTTAATTTTAATTATTAAAATTATAAAATATTTATTTAAAGGGACTTGTAAATTTATATACTAAATCGCTTTATTAAAATCTAAAAACTAAATTTTTAAAAAGAGAATAACTTACTTAATTAATATTAAAAGCTAAAAAACTATTTTTAATAAAATAAAAGTCTTATTATAGCTAAAAAGGATTTTAGTTATAAAAAAGGTTATAATTTAAATAAAAAAGAAATGTATTAGAATAATAATTACTAATTAAAAATTAAAATAGGCTAATAATAATATAATATTTATAAGCATATTAATTATAATATATAAATATATTAATTTAATAAAGAAATATTCAAAAAAGAGTGTTACGACCCAACACGCATGACAAGGCCAGGGCCTGCCCCACAGGACCTACGGCGGCTACCACACCATATATGCGGGAACACGAACTCAGGGCGACTCCTCTCGGGACGGAAGAACTATGGGACAAGTCACGTGACGATAAGAGATAAGGAACTCCGTACGTTCGAGATACGGGGTCCGTCCTTTCACGATACGGAACCCGTATGTTCAGAACACGGGAACCGTTGGGTAAACATACGGACAAAGAATATGTTCAGGAACGAGACTTGTATATAGTGTGGACTTGAGCCGGGCACAAGGACAGACTTCCATAGCTTCTTCAGCAATCAACTTAGTATCAGATCTTACGATCGCTTTCAGCTATCTTCACTGAGAACCCTTCTGACAAGACTACGATTGATCACCGAAGCCTTACCCACCTTACGATTTACAGACATAGCTTCAGGGAAGCTATCCACGACTACGACACTGTTTACTTAGTTATCGCAGCCTCAACTTCTGCTAACATACTCACTACGACTAGCTGGCCGTAACACTTTGATTGCTCCTGTTCAGTAAGTTCACTCTACGAAAAACTAACTAAACAGTACGAACGATGTCGTCCCGCGCCTCAGCCAAATCTCCTACCCCGGGCTCTTCAGCCTCTTCCAAACAACCTGTTCGAAGCCTGGCCGAGGAAATGGAGACAGCTCCTATGAACGTCGACTCCGACGATGAGGTCACCCTCAAAAAAGAGACCTACGATCGACTCCGCGAGAGAGTCAAGAGGAGACGCAGACATCGCCAAGGTACAGACCATGTACAACGAAACCGCGAATGAGCTCCAAAACCTCAAGATCATGATCCAGCAGTTCGGGAATGGCCCTCAGCGCATTCAGGACCTGGAGAACGAAGTCATCCGACTCAGAGAACAAGAAGCAAGTACCAATGTTCAGGCGCTTCAGGGAGAGGTCAACACTCTCCGAGCCGCTGCCAACATCATTGGTACCCCCATCCAGGGAGGACGACAGAAACTCAAACTCAGCGCACCCATCACCTGACGGCACCCCAGGTACTCTCAAGGGATTTCTGATTCAAGTCAAAAACTATCAGAACTTCCATCACGGAGACTTCACCAGCGAAACCGAGAAAGTTGTGCACGCCGCCAGCTTCCTCAGGGACGAGCCTCAAGTGGTTTGAACCTATCCAGGAAGAATATCTCAGCAAAGAAACTCTTGACGAGTGCTCTACTGAAGTACGCGACATCTACAGTAACTTCAATGGATTCGAAGAAGCTCTCAGGTCCCTATTCCAGGACCCTGACGAGAAACGACAAGCTGAACGCGACCTAGCGCAGCTACGACAAACCAAATCGGCAAGGAATATTCCGCCGAATTCAGACGTCTCAGTGCCCAACTGGACCTCACTGACGACACCAAAATGTTCATGTTCTACCAAGGACTGAAGGACGAAGTCAGGACGAGCTGGTCAAGCTCGACAGACCAGAAGACTTCCTTCAGTACGGAGAACTCGCCATCAGAATTGACAACCGACTCTATGAACGCAAGAAGGAAAGGAAGGAACGACCTAACACCGGACGCAAGTACCAATGGCAACCTCAACGCAGTTTCCAGGCGAACCAGCGACCTCGCAACAACTGGAACAACAACCGACAAAGCACTGCCTACGGACAACATGACGGTCCCATGGATCTCAGTGTCGCCAAGAGAAGACAACCGCCCCAGGAAGGACTTCAAATGCTACAACTGCGACAAGCCAGGACACATGGCTAGAGACTGCCGACAACCCAAACGCATCCAACACCAACCCGTTCCAGAAAAACGAGCCAATATCGCGAGCAAGGAAATTGCACAACTCTCATGGACGGCTTGCTACGACGACAACTGCCTTATTCACCAAGACAGTAAGGAACAAACCGGATGGTACCTAAAACAACGAACAACCCGGATACGATGACCCACCACCTGTCAAGACCTAGCGGTGGCAAAGAAGAAGAGATACCCATCTACCGACCTCTCACCCTCGAGGATAACAACATCGAATGTGTCGCCATACTCTCTCAAATCTGCCAGAATATAGAAGAGAAGGCCAAGACAGACCCCATCATGAAGGATACCCTTCATCTCCTTGAAGAAAGAATCATGCAAAGACTTCAGGCAAGTACAAGGAGCAACTCCTCAAATTCGAAGAAAGAGGCCCCGACACAGAAGAAATCATGGGTAATCTCGTCCACATGGCACGACGAAACAACAAGAAACAATCCCTTAGGAAGAAGGGACCCCATCGGACGACATCCCGACCAAATCCATCTGTGTGATGCGACGAGACGACGGAAACAAAAATTCATTCGCAAGGTCAAAGAACAACTCAAGAACCTAGAACGCGAAGACAAAATCGAAGTAATCAAGAGGCCCAATCTTGACTTCGAAATCAAGAATGGAAAGGTAGACTTTCGACTCAAGAAGGACGAACTTGAGATCGGCTCCAGCAGCCACACCTTCGACGAAGAATCACCTATGATTCGGACGAACCTCGCGACGTCGCTCGACGACGT